CTGGTCAAGACCTCAAACTCACCTACAGTTTACACGAACTCTGTTTAGTGCTTCACTAAACACACTGGATTGTATCCAGGCTGTTTCCCACCTGCTGTATCCTGCTCCCACCCCTGCACACAGCATTTTCAAAGACAAAACTAACCCCTGCTGCATTCTGTGGGATGCTGGATTTAAAAATTCCACACTGAGACCAGATGCTTAACTAAGCCTCTCGGGCAGGAGGAAGCACACACATCACTGCCAGACCCCAGGCTGGATGCTGTGTGCGAGCTCCTCTGCCGCAGCAGGGCTGGGCATGTGCAGAAGACTTCAGGGCTATTTTGAGTAAAAGTCTGAGCTAGTTTTGGAGGCCTGTTGATCTCAGGCTAAGCAAGGTCCTAATGGTGGAGCTTAGTCAGGTGCACTGGTCTAAGTCCCTCCTTAGGACTGCGGGTCCCTTTCTGATTCTGGCCCAGGCTGCTGCAGGTCACAGGGGGAAGGTGCAGCACAGCAGGATGGATCTCTATCCCACTGGGTGGTCTCACATCCCAAGCCCATACAGAGCTGCTGAACCATTTTTCTTCACTGTAAGTTCTGATTTATGGCTCTGACAGTGCCACTGCACTTTCCTTCACTGCAGCTATGGCCTGTATGTTTCACAGCTTTCTAAGGCCACCAACAGTTATTATTTTTATCTAAGCTGATGCTAATGCAGGCCAGAGGAAGTTAACCAAATGCTTACCAAATTAACATCTGTGTGTATACACAAACCCATGGCAGAAGAAAAGAGGTTTATTTTGCATCCCAAATCACCTTTTTGATTTAGAAGAGTGCCTTCATTTAAGGGGCACTTTTTTTTCCCCCACAATTTATTTACTTAGTTTTAATTAATGAGAAAAAAATTTATTTTTTAAACCTGCATGACCATTCATTTTCTGGATTATTTTTGCTATTTTTCATTAGACTATGACAGGTTTGGTTTCATGACTCCTTAATCAGATACATTTGCTATCTAGATTTTTTCCCCATATTATTATGATGAACTAGTTCACCAGACCTGCACTCTTTGGTTTGCCGCAACCTTAATGTCCTCAGGTACATTGTACAGCTATAAAAATTCATGCAAATAACTGCATTGCACTTGCATTTGACTTAGAATAGAGCACAAGAAACTGAAGAATCACATATATGAGAACAGAGTGATTCATGAAGTTTAGAATCACATTTAGAATCACTTTGTTAAATGATACAGTTTAATTTTTACACCATCATTTGCAGATGCTAAAAGTGAACCCCTCTAAGTAACCCTGTACGTGAAAGCTGAGATGTTCTCTTCAGAATTGCTTTTGGTATTTTCATGTCAAAATAAAAAAAAAGGTTAAAAAAAATGTGCTGTTCCTGGTTAGGTAAAGCCTTGAGTGAACAATAGGTTTCTGCATGTTTATGAAAAACTGTCATTTGATAATATGCTGAAGTTTTCACAACTGTGACAGTAATATTTTAACCTCTGTTTTAACTTCTCGTTCAGCTACATTTAATTGCAGAGGTCAGTTAGGTTAATTACCAAAGTGTTCTCCTTATGAGTAACTTTGAATATAAATGCTGGAAAAATAACCAGAGCCTTCATATATGACAAAATAATCTTATTTGCACTGGTTCCATAAATGAAACAGTGAATTTTGGTTGTGAAAAGCATACTATACAAGTTTTGGTTTGCCCATTTTTTTTCCTTCAGCACTGCAACACATTGAGCATTCAAAGTGCCTCAAAGAACATTTCCAGGGAATAAATTCAATCATTTAATAAAGAGCAGTAAAGAGTGGCAGCGAAGGAAAAAAACCCCACGTTTGTTGGTATAACCAGTGGTAAGTACCCAGGAATTTGTGGTTTATAATGCACGTTCTTAATCTGTCTTTGTTGATTTCGCAGCGATGATAGAGATACAGGTGGCCAAGTTTCTGCTAGTTATTCAAATTGCTGCAGGAATGAAAACAAAGCCAAGGGGCAAAACATTATAAAAATGGATTGATTAACTTTTCTTAATAATTGCATCTGTAAGGTGAACTCATGCTGAAGGGGGAATGTGGAAGCAGGAGGAGAAAAGTTCTGACCGCATCAGACTAACTGAAAGTCAGGTTGGTCCTGGTCTTCAAACAGGGAGAGGGATACAACTCTGGGTTCCAACCACCCTGAACTGTTTTCTAGGACAGGCTTTTTAATGCCTTTCTGATCTTCCTAAATGGGGTGTTTTTACCAGTGAAGGAAGTTTGTTAGTTCTAGTTGCAGGTCAGCTCTATAAATGCTTTAAATGCTTCAGGGGGAAAAAAAAAGTAGTAAAAATGCTCAGTGTGAAGTTTTTAATGATTCTGTAAATGAACAAACCACCTCTCCCTATCACACTCCTTCCCTGATTTTATCCCATTCCTAATTGTAAGTCTCACCATTTCTTTTCTCCTGCAAGCTAAAAAACAGTCAAATACACAATTGTGGCAGTTGGCCAAGATGATCATAGTCCCCTCACAAAGCCTTGTGTCCACCTGGTGCCTTCACAGCTAGAGACAGATGGAATTTTCCCTATAAGCCTTCCTTTTTCTTTCTGTAGGAAAGGCAGCAATACTCATTTCTGCTGCTTCCAGGCCTAAGGTCCAGAGCAGGAGGAGAATGCATGTAGTCTACTAGCCTGACTTTTACAGAACAGCCTGTATCATGCTATTATGCATAAGAAGAAAAGCTTAGATGTATTTTTATGTCAAATAAATTCACTCAAAAAGCCTCATATTCTACTGTAATTCACAAGTCAAAAAGAAAAAAAAAAGCAAGGAAAGAAAAGGAGTCAGTGTGGCTTGATTTGTTGCCCACATATAAGCATCTGGTGTGATACAAAATGCCCTCAGGTGTCCTTCCAAGTATCCAGCTGCTGGTCCAGAATGTCTTTGATCTCCATTTGGGCCTCACCCACATCTGCCAGCCCCATGTGTAGGTCTTAGAACCCTAAGACTTATCTACCAGGAGACAAAGGGAGACAAGTGGGGGATGAGTTTCAAAATGTTGTTTCAAGTCAGGTTATTAACCCAAGAACACCTTAGGATATCTCAGACCACACCAGATGCCTGCGTGGGTAACTGAATCAAATTCAGCTGGCTTGGAGAAATTCACACTATAAAAAATTATCTGGTAATATTTTAATAGAGATGCTCACAGAGCTATGAAAAGGGAAGAAGAAAGGAACTTTTGCAAGGCAATAGCAAGTAAAAAAGATGACATTTAATAACAGAAAAAAAAAGGAGAGAAAAAAATTATTCTTTTTGGTTTGAAAGATTCCTTTGAGGGGAAATGAAAAAGGATGTACAACCATGTATTTTCAAGACTTTCAGAAGCAGTGGTTAAATACTATTCAGCCACTAATATATTTGCAAAGAACTAGAAAGAGGTAGAATTAATCATAAACTTATAGAATATGACACATAATTGGTAAGAACATCCAATTCTATTTCAACAACACCAGAGCCTTAAAAGTATAAAAGTAAACACTAGACCCACATCTCTCTGAAGTAAAAAAAGGGAAAATTTTAGCAGAAGTCTCTGTGACTGGTGCTTATAAATGCTGTGCATTCTCCCAGCTTACTACCACAACATCAGAATCAAACCTTAAATTGTATTTCATTGGGTAGTTCACATCAAAAGGTCATAGAAATTCTTAAAAAAAATGTTTAAGTGAGTTCAATGCATGCAGATCTACTGAAAATGTTTAGGAATGCTTCTGCTTGGTGGTCCAAACTGGTATGATCAGAGGAAGAATTATATTAAGCTCATAAAAAGTTAACAGCAATAAGACTCATTTATACAGTATTTCTTTTTAAATCTTATCCTGAATCTGTATTAGTGATTAAGGCAACATTCCTCAAGATGACATTAGGATATCATGGATTTTTTTCCATGATATCTACAGAACATACATAATCAGAATAAGGGATAATATTTTCAAAATCAACTCATAAATCTCAGAACTCTCTTAGAAGCTTAAATGCGTCAGCAAAAAATTATGCTATTGTCTCTAACACAGGTAACAGAAGAAAAAAAAAACCTGCAAAAAAAGCGCCTCACGCAAGTATTCAGAAAAATGCAAAAACTGCACAGTGACCTATCTGGGAAATCCTACCAATGTGTCTGATCTGTGCTTTGTGCCCGTTCCTCATGGTAATCTTTTATCTGGGAACAAAGCCACGATTGCTGAAACAGTTCTGCTTGTATAAAGTAACAGCTTGTCCAGTAAGCGACAAAGGACAATTTTGTTCTCAGTACAAATAACCTGGCTGACTGTAGATGAGCTTCCTGAAGAAACAGATCAGTAACACTCCATTCTCAAATAAAGCTGAACTACCTGGTTACACTGTGCTAACCTAGTCCCAGATGCACCTGGATATCAAAAGGAATTTGCTCAGAACTAGCCAGGATATGTGCCTAGTTCTGGCCTGTATATACAAATCAAATGTTGTGATACATAACATCACCTTCATGTCATTTGAAGATCTGACATTTTAAGTCTTTCACACAGGACTGGCCAGAGAAGCGGTTTCACTTACCTTCACTATGGCATCCTGTGTCAAATATTGCAACTCTTACTGTGATAAGCTGGTAAATAAGGGGAAGTGATAGTTATTATTAATTTTAGGAGGTGGTCAGATACTGAAAAGGATAGTGTACCTTGGGGTGCCTTGTCAGTACCCAGAGAGAGAATATGAATCACAAATGAAGAGAACGAGAACATATGAGAGAATATGGCAATTGCCACAAATAAGGGATTATGTCACTCTACCTTATTTTTAAAAACAGATTTAAGCACACTAACAATCAAACAATGAATTTATTTGCAGGATACATTTATCATACATAGAAAACAATACTTATTGTTTGGTTGATTAAATAGAGAAAAAAAGCAAAACAAAACCACAATACATTAGTCAGTGTTCCATATATTTGTTAGCTGACATTTTAAAAATGAAGCTTTCTTTTTTTCCCCCTTTTTTAAAAAAAAAAACAACATGATCATGAACAATGCATAGTGGGAACAAAGGGTCTAGAAATCTAACATTCCACAGCTGTGAGTCAGTGTGAAAAATAAGGCTATGTAGAGGAAAAAAACTCCACAGTGAATTTCAAAACAATACATATTCCACTGACAGGCTTCAGATAAGATCATCTGAGTATATGAAATCTAAAAGCAAAGTTATGTAAGGAAAGAGGAATTTAAAATTTTAACAAATGACTTGGGAAGGAAGGAAATAGATTTTTCTAGTGATGGCTTGGAAATAACCTCCAACCTTTCAAACTAGTATCAACAAAGGTCAATTACACTATGATGCTGCAGAAACCCTCCCAAGACGAACATCTAGGAACATCTAGAGGTAAGAAAGATCCAAGTCATTTTTACAAAATGATCTACAACTACTCATACTACTTAGTCAGCACATATTTATTGATGGAAAGACAAAGTGTTAAAAAGTTTCATCATCAGTCACTGAATGATTCAGTGAAGGGCTGGAAAATGTACCTTCGTGCTCTGAAATGTTAATTACAAGTTCTTTTCAGGTTTCATGACAATGTAAATGGAATGAATGGAATTGCAGTGTCATATCCTGCTCTTTGTTCCCATCCTTTCACACTGGGTCAGCAGTGGGAAGGTTTCATAAAGCTGCCATAAACTGAAGTTCTTCACTGCCCTTAATCACTGCCATCTGCTCTTCACATGATGGTGGTGGTGGAGTCCAAGGAACAGGAGTCACAGAGCTGCCCTTTCCTGGCAGTCCCTTGTACAATGCTTCCCAAATGCTGCATTAATACAGGGAATATACCCGAGGTAACTGTCATATTAAATAACTAATCTATATAAAGCATTACATGAAAGGATGAAGAGGGTATAAAATACTTACTAATATTGGATCTTACCTGTGTTAAAATTCAGATTCCTTACTCCCAACAGTACAAGAACAAAGCTGAGGCAAGAATAGTTGTGGAAATTGGTCTGAATGCAGGTGTACAGAATGTATATTTTACAAATAACTATATCTGGAGTTTAACTCACATCTTTTTAAAACAATTAAATACAGACTACGCTACATAAACATTTACAACCTTGCTTCATCTGTCATAAATGCCATCCAGATAAAAATTCAGATATTTCATATAGATGATATACTAATTTATTTTAAAAATATTTCCTACGGGTCAGTCTTTGCTGTCATGTAGAATGTATAGGAAACTATTGGGAAAACTGGGATTGTTGATGTGCTAAACTGAACAAAAATATATCCTTACTCAAAGAAAGCTGAAACACCCTGACTGCTATGGGGAGGTCTGTCCTGAAAACTTTATTTCTTCAGTATACTCTACACAGTCTTGCTTATCCCAGTTATCATTCAGAACAGCACAAACAGCAGCATTAAGAGAGTGATGGATTCCAAGGTTGACCTCTTTTAGTTGCCCTGAAAAATCTGTGTTTACCATGCTTGTAGCTGAGGCTTCACAGAAACTACGAAACATAAACATCAACTGAACAAAACTCATGCAGCTGTTACATCCCCATCACATCATGTGTTAACAAAATTAAAATCAGTTATGGGAGAACAACATAGTTTCTATTTTAAAATCCAGAGAAAGCCATAGAGAGAATTAATAGAGAGAAGGAAAAAGAAAAACAAAGGCCCACACTGCAGAATATGGAGGACTGCTGTAAGTTACCCCTAAAAAAGCACTAATACATCCTGCAGCTGTATATGTATCTGTTATAGAAATGTATGTATATATACACGTATATATCCACAAATGCAGAACCATCACTGGAAAAAGTAACTGTCAATATACTTGGTTGTTTCATTCTAAATAAAAAGGATGAGTTAACAAATTTTCCACTGTGGCTCATAATTTGGGCTAACTAATCTGCAAGTTTGTCTATACTTTTTCTAGTGAAGCCTCTTTCATTTAACTTGTATAGAAGCAAACTGGTTCAAATTTCCTAATTAGCAAAGAGCACATAACATCCCCCAAGCTAAGAAGTGTGCCATTTTCATGTTGTATTTTGCATTATCAGAACATGCTATGTAAATCTTTGCTGATATAAAAAAAATCTCATAAAAAACAAAGCAGAACAGTGATAATAATTATGGAATTTTTCTGGCGATTTTCATGTAAAAGCTACATATAACATTTCTGAATATTAGACATTACTTTTTCCATCTGATACAGATTTAAAATGCATAGTATATACATAAATAGTAGCAGCCATCCAATCATTAGGAGTGCTCTGTTCTATAGTCCAGTCAATATGCCCTATAATTATATTGATGGATTTTGTACTGAAGATTCTGAGGGGCTAATTAGAATAAGAAGTGGAAAGATTTCATTTTAAGGAAAGGCTTCCTTTCTATTTTTACAAACACAGAACAAACATCACAAATACTCCAGAGTAAAAATCCAACACACAGAAATCACTGTGTCCTTTTGTGCTAAATAAACAACGAAAACCGCAGGAAAAATCCTCCCAATAACTGTATGCATGGCACATGCTTATCAGTATGTAATCCCTATGTTGGGATTACAGGAGAATGAAATGGGTCCACTGAACAACTTTTTCTCCCGACAGAGGTCTCACTTAAGTACTACCTTTGTCCACAGGTAATTTAAGATGTGCTGGGTCACCATTCATGCCCAGTTTGCTTGAAGTCTTGATTCAAAGCACTTAAATCGACCCTTATTCAATAGAGTTCCAGTATGTGGAGAAAGGGACTCACGAATTATTTTTAAACACTTCCAGTAGTCTCTCTTCCATATAAGATATCTAGGGTCTTTACAGTATACCAGTGTGTCTGTTTTGCTAAAACCACAACCAATGTCTTCTCCACCCTCTTCTTGATCTTGAGGGCAAACATACACTGAAGTTCTACTTTACATAATCACTGAAAGTCACAGTTATACTAAGTAAACTGCATTTAATTTCCTTTGATAAGACTTCATGGTTTTGGTGGCACACTAAATAACCAGGAACAACCTGCTGGCCTCATTATAGCAGATGTAATTTGTGTATGTTAATTCAGAAACTTTTTTTTTAATCTGTTGCCTACATCTCCACGAGAAGCACTACGCTAAAAGATTGTCACAAGCCATTGTAGTCATACATATAAAGTATCAAAATTCACATGTTTTGAAAGTAAATATCCTGTCTTACTAAATTACATTAAAACTCCTAAGTGCAAATTAATTTTTTGCACTATAGCTTGGACAAGACACAGAGCCACTGAAAGGAAGAGCTCTGATCAGTAAGCAGTCACTTAGGTGAGAGAGCAGGCCTCTAGAACAGAACAGGCCTCTAGAACAGAACCTCAGAGCCAGGCTTTGAGCAAGGACCAGGCTGCTCCTATCCTCCAGTTCGTGGAGAGAGATGGCAGAGTGGCCCATCACAACTGCTCCCCTGAAACATCTGTATGTTTCCAGGAGTGATTACAAGTTAGACTTTCAGGGCATAGTTTGTTTTTCCCTTTCTTGCACTTTGTGTGACTTTTAACAGTCCCCGCAAAGGGACCAACTCACACTGGATTGACTGGAGGATTTACTCTTTCTTACCAGGATCTGTGCCTATATGCCTGGGCTGAAATGACTGACAATGGGCGGCACAGGCCTGCCACCCCACAGAGGTAAACTTCAAGAGGTCCAGCTTGTGACAGCACTGGAGAGGTGAGTAAACTAACCAGCAACAAAAAACACATAGGGTCTCACTACTGCTTCTATCATCTTAAGAAAGGAGTACATCTTAACTGTGAAAGGAACTGTGCAAAAATACACATCGGCGGGCAAATGCAAACATCAGTGATGAATCCAGGCAGTAGCACCTGGAACTGGGCTCAGCCCCACTTGTAAAACTACCCAGGCTTTTACCTCTAGTGCCAAAAGAATGTATTTGACCTGGTCATGAACGTTTCAGCACTCCCTGCAGGCCAGTATCCATGAGCTTATGTTCCACTTCAGTTCCTGATGAAGGGCCATTTCTGTAAAGGAAGTCTGGGCTGCAGCAGCTCCTACGGGGAGCACTGTACGAGGCAGAAGTTGCAGCATATTTTTAAAAAAGGTCATATTTCAAATATTTAGGCTCCCAAAGTGGAGCATTTTTGTTTAAATATCAGCCTATATTAAGACAAGGCTCTGACTGAACCTGATTTATAGACTGGGCAATATATCATAAGAGGACAAGACAGTCAATATATAATCCTACTGGGTACAAAATATTACAGACTTAAAGAGCTTCAAAGTATGTTAAACATACTTCAATCACCAAAACACTGACTGTTCTTCCACTGTTCATTTAAGAACAAGGATATTTCATATATTCATTTCATTTCATTTCATGTATTCATTTCAGAAAGCAAAGCAAAATGTTTACATTGTTCAATTCACAATCATATTCTTCTTCTAAATAATTCTGATCCAAGACCAGCTTCAACTAAATATCTTTGTTAACTATTTTTGAACAGAATGAATCCTACCAAAGGAAAACAACCCTTTGAAATAGAGAAAGCCATCAGTGAGTTACTGTACATATTACATGCATAGCATCAGAAGATAGACATCATAAAAACAACAGGTTTCACTTTTAACTGTAAACAGGTAGAATACAGGATTCTTTTCTGAGTAAAACAACACAAACATTACATATCACTTAGGGAAAATTGTGCACAGTATACTTCAGCATTCAGAAACTAAATTTCTGTTATCTTGTAGCTATTGCTGACAAATATTGCCTTTAAAAAAACTTCAGCTGTGTATGATAATATACAACTGAATGTATTAAGAAACAGACGTGTGGGCTTTGTTATCCTCCCACATGCTTCATTTTTAGCAGACACTGGAACTTCTCATCTACATCCTGAGGACAACATTCCTCCAGTCATTTTGGCCAGCTGAAAAGGAAAGCCGCTAACCCATATTGCCACTGTCTCCCCATTAACACATGGTAAGCATTTGCTTAGCTTTTCACTATTTTGAGATCAGACTTTAGGGCTTCTTAGAATTCATTTTGGTAGAATACCAGATTAAAAAAAAACAAAACAAGACACTCAAGACTACACTGGCTGACAAATGATCAGAGCCAACACAGATTTTCTGACAATTATTCAAATTATAAAGCTGGAATGGTTTTTTTTCTCCCACTTTACAAATGTTTGAGGCCAAATAATTCCCTTATTTTGAGACCTAAATTAATGAAGTCTTTTTCCTGTGAAACTTTACAATTTCTCCAAAACTATTACAGTGTTTAAAGAGTAAATAAAAAGGTTCTTAGTTCTATTAGATTTCTCATGACCACAGGCACAATGTTGTACAGTTTTAAATTAAAACAGCAGCCACCAGTGATTGTTCTTTCAGTATCATTTTAAGGGAATTATTTCAGCCTCAGTACAGGACAAATTTTAAAAGGCAATGGATTCATTATTTCTATGTACTTTGAGAACTGATGGAAGTGTATCCAATGTTCTATCGTGCTGTCACCATCCAAAGTCCCAGTGCAACATTGGCAGCCAAAAGTGCACTACCAGCAAGCAAAATTAAAAAGCCAACAAGTTCTCTGTTTTGTTTTTCTACAATAAGGGAACTCAGTGTGGCTTCCAAGAATGAATTTAATATCCACTGACCATCCAAAGCGAAGCAGGGTACAGCATTGATAACTGCCAGTGCTCCTGATAGTGAAATTAGGTACCTGGTTGACTTTAGTTAAGGTTCATGAATAATATACAAGCAAATGTAAAAAAAAAAATATATATATAAAGCACATATAACCATATTATTTCTAGTATGCAGAGAGAAACATATGAGGGTTATTTTTTTTTAGCTGCCATTCTGTTTCACAGAAATTATATGAGTAAAATATGAGTTTTACACCATAACATACCTGCTCAGAGAATTGCCTCTGTAGATCTTTATTTTTTTTAAGCGCTAGGTTGGTATACTTAGACAACCTGCACTCTTCACAACTTGAATAAAAGCAGGAGACAGTGAAACCACACTTGATGCTGCCCATCTTCCTCCCTTGCTTTGTGTGGTTTTGGAGGAAGGTTACAGCTCTGACACCACGCCTGAAGAAAGAAGGTATTCTAGACCTTTGACCCAAGTATGAAGTCATGATTAGGAATATTTTCCAAAACACTCCCTAGTAAATGACTAGAATATAATTGGAAATCTGGCCTATCTCTCCTACTTACCTGTTAGCCAGAAAAGTTGAGTGGATTTCTGTACGTGTGTGTGCACGTGAGAATGAGGCACGGGTAGACAATTTTTATTGTTGGTAAAGGCTTGCTAACTGCAATACCTACCTCCATCTTAAATGGCCAGGCAAGAAGACATATGATTCAGAAAGCATCTGGGGCAGCGTGAACCTTGATATGTTCCCAGAAAAGGGGAGATTATGTTTATCTTTACTCTAGTTCTATGGACTACACTAAACTACACAGTTTAATTGTTCTATAGCCATACATAAACATTTCCGTTTCTAAGGTAAGAGTTCTTAGATTAGTTATATTCAAACCTACTAAGCTTTGTACATGTGTATATGTATCCTCTCGTTCATTAACAAGCATGTATGAACTGAAGTATCCTGCTTTTTGAATATGCTTTGCTTTTCTGTTGAAGAAAAAATTAAAAGAACAACCATACCCTGTTATTTAGTTCAGTATAATGACACAAAAATGGTAAAATTCTGACATACCAAAGCTAGCAAGAACATCTTATTTGTCCTGCTGTAAATTCAGACTTACTTTCACCTTCTGGTCACATTTATTAAGGCTCACCCTCAAGAGTTAAAAAAAGCACTGACAAGAAATATATTGTTAAGCACAGCAAAGTGAGAGATTTCATTTTGAGCTTGGCACATGGACAATAATCAATGGAGAGATGGGATAAAGATGTCAAAACTCTACAGAAATATTTCAGAGCATCCTGTCTAAAACGATATCCAACTGAAATTTTGCTAGGTCACTAAATTCTGAACAATTCCCTTCTTGCCTTAAAAGAACAAACATACTTTAAAGGATACTTGCAAAACGTCTCTATCACCACAGGCAGATCGATGCTTAGAAAGTTTTGTCGTGGTACAAAACTGCTGAGACTTACTGAAATGAAAATATAAAGACACACAAAGCATGAAAAGTAATTCCAGGGTTATAACATTAAGAATTTTAGCTTATAATTTTGCAGACACATCAGATGTGAAATGACCTTCTTTAAAGAGGAATAACCAGTCTAAATATGAGTTTGGGTTTTTTTTTGTTTTCGCAAGAGTGCAGCCATTAAATCTTTCTTAAACGTGGCCACTATCATAGTTTCACTTTCAGTAAAACTAGATCTAAAATACATATTTTCAGAGGCAACTGTACATCTATAGTCATAAAGACTCCTTTATGTAATTTCAATTCTTTTCAAAGAAAGAGATTATAGCTACCAGACTTTTCCAACATATGCAGTACACATGTATACTGCGGGTGCACACGTGTATTTCCTCTGAAGGCCAGAAAATTCTTCTCTTGCAGTACCTGCAGAAGCTCCCCCTGACCTGAGGCTGAGCTCATGGTACACAGATGGGGAGAAGAATTCTGGAGTCCTTCTGAGAAAGCCAAGGCTACGAGGTGACGCACAGATGCATTGCACAACACCAGTTAGCCAGTACATAAGTAGCTTCTCTTTTGTGTTCAGATGATAAGTGACTCCAAGATATAACTTGATGCAACTTAAAAACCTGAGACATGGAACTTGGCATCCTTCCTATAAACAGTGACGGGAAAATTGCAATGTCAAGCACAACATGATCTTGAAATACTTTGTTACTGAACACACTGTTCTTTGAAGGTGTACATGAACCTTCAGTTTACTGCATGTCAAATGTTTCTTGAGAGGTTCTTCAAAGAAAAGTGAGGTAACTTGAGACCTGCCAGAGTACACCTTGTTAGTACAGGGATGCTCCATTCAGGTTCTCTCATAAAAAGTCTTATTACAGTCTTTCAAAGTAAACAGCAGTCAGAGTCTGTCAGCAGGGACCATTTGGAAACCTTAGTTCTATGACAGCTGGAAGTAAGACACCTTTCCTATACAAGGAAAGTAGAACGGAGTCTTATCCCCAGAAGGAAGGGTTTAAGGTAAATTAAGGCAGAGATAGAAAATCACCTTGAGAATAAACTTGAACAGTACCAAAACCAGTCTTTCTGTCACTAAGGAACAACTTTGGATGTGAATTTTCCCTACCTACTTGGGAAAAAGTTATAGCCATAAGAAATACCACCTCCACAGAGATATGCGAAAGCAAGAGTTCAAATCCCACACAATACAAACATCCCTTGGGAAAGAAGCAATTTAACCCATCCTTACAGAAATTTTAAAACCATAGGCTAAGAGAAAACTGGGAACATAGCATAACAAAAATGTTATTCAAATTCAGAAATGCTGCTAAGTATATCTTAGTTAAGAGTGAGATCAGATTTCTTCAGGTTCAATAAAGAATTCAAGGACACAGAAACAAAGATGAGGGAAAGTAGTTCCAAAGGCACATAAGGCAGAGAACTCGTCCATTCAGTCACATAAAGACATTTTCTTCTTTTAACAGATGCCCTTCTTGTAAGTTCAGCCAGCAAGCATACCATGGGGATGGAGAGATATATATAACAAGGAGTCCCCCCAGAAAAATGGTTTGATGTGGCAACAAGCAGAGAACTTTCCATTACCAAAACTGCCGCTGTGCTTGAAAGTCATGTTGTCTCTTCTAGCTTAAAACCAATCTTTGATTTAGAGAAAATAAATCTGTTGGACTACTGAGGAAAGAACAAAACAGACAGAAACCCAGGACACCACCCAGCTTAGAAAGTCAGAGGCATCCAAGTCAATCACAGTATCATAGAATGGTTTGGGTTGGAAGGGAGCTTAAAAGATCACCTAGTTCCAACCTCCCTGGCATAGGCAGAAACACTTTCACTAGACCAGGCTGCTAAAAGCCCCATCCAACCTGGACCCATCCACCACTTCAATGGGCAACCTATGTTCCAGTGCCTCACCATGCTTAGTGAAGAATTTCTTCCTTGTATCTAATCTATTTCTAGAAGAAAACCTGTATGACAAGCCACTGATTATCAGAGATACCGCTAAGAAGTTCTTTGAAACATTCTGTGTGTTTGTCTAGCAGTATTTAGTATCAGCCACTACAGTAAAAAAATTACAAAAAAAAAAAATTTTTCCTTGACATCTATTCTACACACAAATTTACTCAACTAAATGCAAGATTTTATTAAAATACTTATTTAGCCTTATTTTAAAGGTTACACTTGTTAACCAGGAAGACACTATAACCTTCTGCAGCTTAATACTGGAGGTTGCCCTGAAGCAGGTACAGGACCTTGTACTGGGTCTTATTGAACCTCATGAGGTTCCCATGGGTTCTCCTTCTTGAACTTGTCCAGGTCCCTCTGGATGGCTTCCTGTCCTTTGGGTGTGTCAACTGCACCACTAAGCTTGACATTGTCTGCAAACTTGTTGAAGGTATAATCGATCCTACTGTGGGGGGGCTGCATCCCAGCCCTTGGACAGAGCTGCCCTATGGGATGTATTCCCCTACCCAGGAGGGCAGCTCCCCACACAGCCCTGCCCCAGCTCTGCGGTCATTCTAGGGCCATGAGGTCACAGAGCTCCACGGTGCTGCACTGGACCGAAGAACCGACTGCTCAGCCCCTCCCCTGACGGCAGGAGCAGCGACAGCAACAGCAGTAGCAGCGGGTGTGAGGGGGACCATGGTCCTTGTCCACCACCTCCTCCTCATCATCCTCCTGACTGCCCTGCACGCCAGGGCTGCCCAGGCTGCTACAGGGCAACTGCAGGAAGCAGGTCAGCTGGTGGCACCAGTGCAGCCTTCCATGGGCCAGTGAGGTCTTCTTACCAAGGAACATGGATGTTGGGTTTTTCCTCCAGTGCTTTACTGAGGGTTTTCTCTGTGTGAGCGCTCTCCTGGTAAGAGAGTCTCAAGGGTCCATCTGCTCCTCCAGGGTGTTGCGCATTGCCTTAAAGGAGTGTTGCGCTGCCAGCTCAGAGGTCCCCAGGTCCTCCTCTGCAGCTTTGGCAATCCACTGACATCTGGCTCTCACATTTTTACCTGACCCCCTTCCAGTGCTTCTGTTCACAAAGGCAGAAGACCCTAATATGCAACGAAAACATTTTTTTGTGCTTGCTTCTAGCTGATTCTCTGAAAGAGTCTCTGGAAGCTTGGCAGAAAGATGGTTTGGAACCCCTAGAGCCTGCAGGTAAATTCTCAATGTCCCTTTCTTTGAAAGAATAATGATCAACAATGTGTCAAGAGTTTATTAATGAGCAATTTTCCTTAAGATGTCGAGGTTGGTGGCTTGCTGAAATCTTTGCCAGTTCGAGTCCTCAAGCAAAAGCGTGAGCCCACAGGTAAGTTAGTTGGAGGAAGTAGCATTTACCTTTTAATCTTCCTTCCACGTGAAATGCAAGTTGCTCCTTCCATGGTCAATGCCAGCCACTGGCATGGCCAGGTACTTGCTGTCCTGTGGTCAGCTGGTGTCAGCCATCAGGATGGCTGTGCAGCAGGCTCTTCCCCCAGTGCCTGCTCTTGCACATCACATCAGCAGCCAAGCTAAAAAGTGTGTTGGTTTCAAGACATCTGGATCACATTCCAAAAATTATAAAAAACGGGACTCTTGCACAAATGTGGTTCCCACTGTAGCTTCATCCCAGAGCTTGCTCTGAGTAACTACAGGCCCAAGGCACAACAGCAGCCCAGAGAAGGATCCTTCTCGTGAGCTGAGGTCCAGAGCAATATTCTGGTTCCCACACTGGGCAGGGAACCTAAAGGGAACCTCCCCATCCTCCTGCATCCTGAGCCATGCTGAGCTTTACCTGTCTCTGCTTTTTGGCAGTGCTGTCAAGGTCTGGAGAAGAACACAATGCAAATGCCAAAAAATCTCCTAAAACGGGCTCAAAGCACTCAGGTACTGAGCAGTCCTGCTGGGGTCCCTAAGTGAGAGGCACAGCCTGGGAGCGGCTGCAAGGGGTGCCTAAGCCGGAGAAAAGGCAGATGGGGGGGAGCACGGCTCAAGTGTCTCCTGAGAGACATCCCCTTGTGGTGTGGGAGTCAGCTCAGGGAGGGAGAGTTGCAGGTGGCACTGCCTGCTGCAGGGTGGTTTTTGTCCATGTCCCTCGAAAGAGTGACTGGTCAAGCAGTGATGCTCCCCCCTGTGCTCTCCTCCCGACCTTCTGAGTTTCGTTCGGAGGGACAACCTTCCCAAAGGATGGGACTGTGCCTCCAGGCACCAGCACTGGGGGGAAACAGAGAATGTCCTGGTGGTATCAAACATGCTGCAAGCTTACAAGTGGTGCAGAGGATGTGCTAACATTTGAATTTCTCCTGCAGAAGTGACTGTAGCAACGACCACACATATTCCCAAACCCGAGGAGCACGTTGAAAGTATTTTCTGTCATGGAGTAGGCTGTATGATAGGCATAGTGATAGTCCTGGTTGCTGTGCCAGTTGGGATACTGTTGTGTACTGCTGCAATCTGCTGGTGGTGTGATAGAAAACGGTGAGTCATCGATCCCCCCACACCCGCTGCCTCCTTCAAAGGCTGCTCACAGACACGAAGCATTTTTAGTCAGGCTGCTGTGCAACAGTGAGTTACTGGCTAGCCATAAAACTCTGCTGAGGCTTCCGCTGTTGTCAGAGGCTTTCACTTGCGTTTTAATTCCTGGGTCTTCTGGGGAGCCTGCTTGCACTGGAGCCAGTGTTTGTTCAAACTGAGCCTGCCTGGACAAGAGTAGCCTCCATGACTAACAGGCAGAGGCAAAGGAAGGTCAGGATGAGAAAGAGTGGGAGATGATACTGCTCTAAAAAGCAAGACATGCACTGGCACTTGCTGCTGACCAGTGAACCTGTCTGGAGGAATCCCCCTACTCAGTGGTGCCTTGAGGTGCAGGTATTCACCTTGACAGCTCCACCCATGGTGGTGAGCCTTGTCAGCTCTGGGCCCTGCTGTGGAGGAGAGTCCCTGTGTCCCACCTGCAACTTAGCCACCTCCTCTCTCCACAGGCGTCTCTCTGGAGACCGGCAGGAACGTGTTGGTCTGATCTCCCGCCCAGGCAGCCTGAACAGTTTATCTGAACCTGACCCACCACTGTAGCAGCCCTAAGAAACTGGCACATCTGATCCCTGAGCTGTCCTTGTTCCCCAGCCCTTCCTCAGCTGCACTGCAGCAGCAGCAGAAACTGCCCAGCTCCAGCCACAACAGGAACAGCCTGTCCACCCCCAAACCTGCTGGCCCAGCTCTCCAGACAGAGCTGAGGGTGGGCTCATCAGGGAAGGGGTTGGGCTGACAGAAACATGACCCCCGAGCTTCAGGGATCGGCTCTTTTTGTCTGAATAAAAGGAACAGAATCATCACACAAGTGTCTCGGTAGTATCAGAATATCCCGGATTGGAAGGGACTCACAAGGATCATCAAGTCCAACTCCTGGCCCTGCACAGGACCACCCAAGAATCACACCATGTGCCTGAGAGTATCATCCAAATGCTTCTTGAACTCTGTCAGGCTTGGTACTGTGCCCTGAGGAGCCTGTTCCAGCGCCCAACCACCCTCTGGGCGAAGAACCATTACCTGATATCCAACCTAAACCTCCCCTGACACAACTTCAGTCCGTTCCCTCAAGTTCTGTCACTGGTCACCACAGAGAATAGATCAGTGCCCGGCCCTCCTCTTCCACTCATGAGGAAGTTGTAGACCATGATGAGGTCTCCTCCAGGCTGAACAAGACAAGTGACCTCAGCCACTCCTCAAATGGTGTCCCCTCCGGGCCCTTCACCATCTTTGTTGCCCTCCTTTGGACACCCTCTAATAGCTTCATATCTTTTCTATATTGTGGTGCCCAAACCTGCACACAATGTTCAAGGTGAGGCCGCCCCAGTGCAGAGCAGAGTGGGACAATCCCCTCCCTCGACCACCTGGAGATGCTTTGCCTGATGTCCCCAAGGACACGGTTGGCCTTCCTGGCTGCCAGGGCACTGCTGACTCATATTCAACTTGCCGTCGGCCAAGACACTCAGATCTCTTTCTCCAGCCTCTCATTACCCAGTCTGTATGTACATCCAGGTCAAGTGATATCCAAACTCGTCATGCTGAAGGCTGGTATCAGAACATCTGATCTGACCTCTTGTTCATGAGCCAAAACAGCAAAATGGCTGAGGCCATTGAATACATCCAGTGTATTCAAAGGCTTCAAAAGACACACACTCCGATAGACTGTAATTTCAAAAACTTGACTGTTGCTTGACTAACACCTAATGGCCACTAAGTCACCACCCTGAATCTGAAGCTGTGCCTACACTGAGAATGGATCACTAATCTTCTTCCCTTGTTGTTACAACAAATTGTTGTCACCAACAGCCACTAGACATGGATCTAAACTCCAAACCTTGCTACCAAAGTAAACTCCAAACACAAAGAAACTCTTCAGGAAGTTGGTGGACTGAGTTCTAGCCACTGTAATATAAGGCAATGAATTAAGTGGTTGTAACGGATTAAACCTAATGGCAGTAGGCAAATTTGTCCTCCTAGGAATAACAAAAGGCTTGTCTTCAAAAAGACACTGCTGGGAAGAGGTGAACAGCAATGATCCTGGGTGAGAGAAAACAGTCATTGTTTTCCCACTCTAATTAAACAATTCTTTGACCTGGAAATAACATTTCTTTTGTTGGCTAATGCTAGATGGTGTTGGCAAATATCAAGAAGAATGCACAACAGATACAATTTTAATTAGAAGTGACTGGGAGACTAGGTTGACCAAAGAGCTTTTCAAAACTTCTTCATGGGGGAAAGGGCATGTATGCTATAGAGGAGACGGACAGCATGGCATGAGATATTTCTGTGTGGTCTCCAGAAGAACTATACATGTAATTCTTTAAGTATGGGTTAAAAGCAAAGAAGGACCATCCTCAGTGATAAGGGTAAACAAGCATGGAAATACTGAGAAAACAGGCTGGACCATAAAGACCTTCATCATGGATTATGGCTGTTGTTGCTCATAAACATCCCCAAAGCCAGGAAGTGGCTTTTTTTTTTTTTTAAGAAGACTCAAATACAACAGAGGTAGGAGTCCAGTTCAGGGAAATTATATCCTAGGAAGGTATCTCCTAGGTAAGTTCCATCTTCTTTTCATGAAGGAAATCTCACAGTTTTTGATCCCTGATGGGCAACAGTAACATTCAGGGACATGTTTCCTCAAGTAGTGTGAATTCCAAATACGAACCTTAGTCACCAGATTCTTTCCAACCAACAAGGGCCAGACAAAGAAGCAAAAATTTTGCAGTATCAGAAATCACATGAGGGAATAAAAACCTTCACACATAATAAAGAAGAAACAGCGCAAAGTTACATGGCAGTACTGACAGTCCATTTCAGTCTTACATATCATCTGTCCAACACAGGGAGAGCCTCTAAAGCATAACCGCCTGCAATAAGAAAAGTTTAAAAATCTTGAGTAATACCACTTGTATTAAACTGACAGTATGAATTATATTGGACTACATTAGATACTTTTTACAGAAGGAATGCTAATTAAAAGGATTAATCAATGTGTCTGTCCCAAACAACATGCATTCCTAATCATTCCTTCTGTTTTAGTTTTGGCCAAATCTCCAGCGCTTTAAGTTCATTTAGGATTATGATTCCTTCCAGGGCTTTTTTTTTTAAATACTGGAAATAAGTGCTATATATAGCATCCATACCAACAAAAAATATTCTTGCTAGGATATTTTAATTTGAGGAAACAAACATTTAATAGAAATAAACTGTAGAGTCTATTTCTTCTAAGTAGCTATTATGGATATACATTTTTAAAAATACATTATCTGGAAGTTATCTTCAAATGGAAATATGAAATAATTAGTGCTTCACCATAAATCCGGACTATCATGACAACATTACAAGCCTAAGTAAAAAATAATAAATGCATAACCTTAGAAGGTTATTCAAACATTACTGGCATTTCTAGAGAAAGTAAAGACATAATACGCCCCAGTGCAACTCTCATATCATGTTGCATGTTAAATGAAGCACCACTCTAAAAAGTAATGTTTCCTGCAGGCAGAAAGATCACACTAAAGAATAAGGCATTTCTCTAAAACACATTCCAATTTCAAAACTCACGCAGTAGAGGAGGAAGTTATTTTCTTTTCTTAACCATAAAGAAATGGTTACTACTACCATACCAAGGGTTAGTCACATTTGTTAAAAAAAAACAAACGCACCACACCTGTTGGCCCCAGCCAGTATCGTACAGTGCAAAACTAAGTCTGAAATATTTAGAAGCTGTTTCACTGGAATGCATGAAACTCTGTGATGGTACAGTAGATTATCTGCTGCCCAAGCCAGGATTTTAGAATTTTAGCTCAGATGTTTTTCCAAGGGGAACACAAAGCATAGGTTGCATTTTCAGCAAAGTTTGTAATAAAGTCAAACTTTTAGCTTTCAAATTAATACATTCAATGCACAATTCCCAGGGACAATAAATCACTTTAGAATTATATTCCTACATGTGTATGTAAACTATATTTTCACACAGTGACTTCTTAAAGTAGAACTACCTCTTTAGATGCAATAATATTCTTTTCTGACTTCTGGCCGACTGATAGGTTAAATTCTTTTGCAGAATTGCTGTTCAGTAGGAAACACTGACCAAAACTCCATTGCTTCAACATATTGGAAAAGAGAGTAACATCAATTGTTCTACAATATTGCTAGTTTGTATTGTTAGAGACCAAGAAAATGAATTCTATATAGTTATAAAACTCTCTTCTTAAAATATGTTGCTCCACTTGGAATAGATGTCAACAAATATAGAACTGTGTGTTGATATCACACATGTGAACAATATTTTCCTCTTAAATGGCAAGAGGCCAGAAATAAAAAGACCATCTCTGGGGCTTAAATGATGGTATATTGTAAAAAAAGTTGAAATAAATACCTCCTCATAGAGTATCAAATTACCAGCACAGAAAGATAAAGACTGACAGATTAATTAAAAATATGTTATGCAAGAATGTTAATGGCTTTACATTACCAGATTTCATCACTGTTTATAAAGCTCTTTTGTACCTAATTCCAGTGTTTATTCAGAAAAGTACAATGCCTTGCTAAGGAGATACTTCCAAATGTCTGAAGTAAAATCACCCTGAGAAGTACAGCTGACTATGAGGAACAGGTAGGTTCCTCACAGGAAGGGATAGTAGTTTGACACCTAAAACCTTTTAAAACCCATCTGAAGCTAAATTTCACCATGTCACTCATGCTACTAAGTAGGATGTTCATAAGTTTGTTCATTCTTTCCATACTCTCTCCAGCAGCAGAATTACTGTTTACTTATATACCTGGCTCAAGTATATAAACTTGCCCTAAGAAGAGCCACAGTGAATTTCAAAGTAAAGAACTAAACTGTTATATGTTATTTAATTTAGGGCAATCAAATGAAAAAAGAATAAATCAGGAAAAGAATATGTTGTCATAATACTTGTGGCTCTGTAGCCATGAGAATCTGCCACTGATACTTGCATATTAGGTGTGATTCAAGCAGTCATGCTAATATTCCAGGCAAGGTGCTAGAGCAAGATGCCCTATAGATTTTACAATAGCATCTTGAGAGGTTTGTGTTCTAGGAAAATGCAGGTATCTGGTTCCTGTGACTAACCTGAGTAAGATCTGTTCTAGAAATAGCCCTTTCGCACTTTTCTGAAAAAACAACCATCTCATATCACTATGGTTTCTATTACCTTCATAACTCATTGCACTGTGCACATTTCATTTTAGGACTGAGTAGTCCATGTCTCTCCACTGGCTGCAACAAGAAATGGATTCTGCATTAAACAATTTAACTGACAAGCATTCCAAGACCTTGTTCAAGCAGCCAGGCAAAGGAAACCATATTGGAGATTGTTTTTGCTAAACTGCTTCAATAAATAATACTAACCTGTGTACTGAAGATGCATGGGGTGTCCTACATATAGCATGTCAATATGGGGTGGATGCTTTACCCTGATTAGCCTTGTTTGGTTCTCCAAAGAAGGAGTCACACAAAAGCTTGGAACAAAGTCCTTCTGGCAGTCCATGTTGCTTCGACAAACTTTGCTGGCTTCAATAACTTTTCGTGCTGGCAGACAGGCATACTGCAAAGAGAATTTGAAATGATTATGAAAGTTAAAGGTATTTACCAAGGGATCAGAATAAAAGAATTAAATATTCCTTTTTAAAGAAAAGAAATGCCTCACTGATATCAGTCCATGAAGAGCTGAAATCTGATTTTTTTCTTAGTTTTTTTTTTTTGTCAAATCCTGAAGAACCTCTACCTGATACATATTCAACCTTTCACTCCATATTTAGTGGAATGAGGAAGAAAGGGTGTGCACATACACCAAAATCAAAGCATTTTTAGAAAGGTACACACCTGCATAACAAAAAATGAAGGCATCTAAACATAGGTCAGTGATTTCTAACGGACAAAGCCTGCATCAACATACTAGTGACTTACCTGTATTAGAAGTTGTAGTCCTCATTGATCTAAAACCTCATTTGGCTGAACAAAAGCTTATGTTCAGTAAATAAAACAACGAACCTACCAGGTGTGTGATAGCTAAGAAACTATTCTCAACTAAGAGGAACACAGGACTTAATGCAGCGCTGCGTCCTTATAACTCCTACCTATAACTCTACCACTCTACAGTCTGAAAGATCAGATCTTTCTTACTCCCAACAGGCCGAAGACAGTACAGCAGAAGGGAACAGGAAATTGGTTTTCCCCCTCATGTCTCTCATAAAAGCTCAGTGACACTTTTCCTTTTGTTCTTAAAACACAAGCAAGGAAAGTTCTTAATCTACTGTTTACCTTAGGAGAAAAAAAAAAGAAAAGTGATTTCTGACTTTTTAGCCTGATCGTTACACTCCCCATAAATGCCTGAGTGTCAGACACTCGCCATTAAGCTTGATACAAGCCCTTCCTATTCTAACGAGAGGGAGAGGACACACTTTCAAGTACTCTGCATAGCACTGCAAAGACTATGTAAAATAATTGTTAAAAAACTCACAGCCAGTCTCAGGACACTTGAAAGTCACAAGGTCACAGGCTTCCGGATGCTTTTATTTCTTCTCTGTTCATAAGTAGCAGCTATGAGCTTAAGAATGCCAAGGCTCAGTGGGATAGTGATTTATCAAATCTTGCTGAACTCCAGGATGTTACCAGTTACTGCCATATTTCAAATGAACTGCTGGAATGTGCTCAATTCTTAGTGGTTAAATACCACAAAAACACCCTGGAGTGGGAAGCTTACCATCACAGAAACTGTAAACATAGCAGATTTGGAACAGACTTACTTGAATTTCTTTGAGTATTTATCACTAGAGATCAGAAAAATAATAAACTGGTATGTGTAAAAAAGTTTACACAGTTGATACTTGTGCTCTTTTTCTTGCAAAGAGAACCAACAGAAATATTCCATCACTGTCAATATGAAACACATATTTTAACAAACATCTCTGAATTTTCATAGAGTCATAGAATGGTTTGGGTTGGAACGGACCATAAAGGTCCTCTCGTTCCAATCCCACTGCCATGGGCAGGGATACTTTCCATTAGACCAAGTTGCTCAGAGCTCCACCCAACCTGGCCTTGAACACCTCCAGGGATGGGGCATCAATTTATTCCTCATATCTAATCTAAATCTGCCCTCTTTCAGTTTAAAGCCATTCCCCCTTGCCCTATCACTACATGCCCTTGTAAAAAGTCCCTCCCCAGCTCTCTTGTAGCCCCTTTAGACACTGGAAGACTGCTGTATTCTTTTTTGAAGGAAGTAAGTCAAAATCCTACTGAGAAACTTTGTTTTCACGTGACAAGAAAATGAACATGGTGAAAAAGGAATCAAATAGTGGCCCTCATTTTGAGAAACTGGGCAACTTCTAGGACTTTCTCCTGCATGTTTTTTGTTTAACTTAGGGAGCAGCACTACTGACTTCAAACAAAATAACTGAACAGGTAGTCCAGTGCTTTGCTTTGCCTGTAGTGCTCAATACCTTTAAAGACTGAAGCACCAAAATAAGCCAATTTCACCTTCTTCTCAAAAGCTGCTTTTTTCTCACCAGTTCTGCATCCAGGATACTGAAAATCAGTTAGGTGTCTTTTTGCCTGAAGGAATGAGGGCTCTTAAGATTTTTTATGATTCTTCCAGAGACTCTCTGAGTGATCATGGGAAAAAATCATAATTAATATTTTGTGGGGTTTTAAGCTGTAAATGGGGAGAATAATATATATATATACCTTTATTACAAACTGTAGATATTTTTAAACACATGAGCATGCTGCATAAATGTTGGTAAATATTACTAATTAATTTAAGTAATTTCAGATTTACCAAAGAGAATTAGCAGTTGAAGTAACTTACCAGATGGCTGTCCAACTTATTGCTATATGAAAAGCAAATGTCTGTGAGGCTGTTGTTACTACAACATTCAACTGTGCCATCGAGTCTTCTGTAGACTAAAGAACATAGGGATAGAGTAAATAGTTGATATTATAGTAATTTCCTGAAAAAAGAATTAGCCTCTGAATAAAGCAAAACAACCATTCTGCAGCCTTTGAGAATTATAGTAATTCACACAGCATAGCTGAGATTCAGTCACAACTAAAAATAAGTTTCACCACCAATGTGTGTGAATGTCACATACTGATTTTTTCATCTTAATAAATCTCCTGGAGATACTGGGCATCTACCACTGCAGTGTTTTGAGCATTGTGAGTTACAAAAACCATTTTATTCATTGCCCCCAACTTGCATCAAGGTTTGGCATAGAAGTTATTTAGCCACTACTGTACTGATGTCACTGGCTGGCTATGGAAATGACAAGGCCCAAAACGTACTCTTTAAAATGTGAAAGCCTTTATAAGATTCAAATTCTGAAGGCTTTTCAAACCTTGAGGGTTGCAGCAGTGAATAAATGATGTTTTAAACCATGATTTAACTAGTTTGGAATCTTTGCACAGATGCTCTTTAAATGAAAGCAGCCTAACTAACAGTGCAACAACAGCTTAAAAACACACACACAAAACAATGGTCACTATAAGAACCTATATAATAGCAACTGCAGTACCTTCTTTAGGAGAGCAGTAACATGGAGCTTTATGCCTGGGGCTTACAGGTGCAAGCACTGTACCATACAAACCTTTCTTCAAGTACCCTGAGGCTAAGAAACCACAGAGATTTCTGAACAGTGAATGACCATGAAATTAGTTTCCTTATAAACTACATTGAAAACACTTTAATTTCAGGAAGGTCCTTGGAGCATTGTTTTCTGTCTAGCTTCATACTCAAATAGTTTACTCTCCATTTGTTTTATGATCAAATAGATGGGGTCCATTTGCTATATACATTTTTATTGATACTCTGTATTTATGTCAAGTTGTGAACTGTCAAGGTTTTGATAAATGACAGCTGCTAGAGACCAAACAGAGTTCATTTAATTTCAGAGGAATATTTCTCACTGCTGGAGGCTTATGACTCCGAAAATGCAGACAGACTAGTCTGATTAGAAGGCAGCAGTGGGGACAAAGGGCTGCTAACACAATACAGCAACCAAGCTTGGAAGCAATACCAAGCCTCCAGTATTAAGCCTCTAGTATTTCAATCTAAATAGGACTGCTTCAACTGCAGAATATGCAGTTTTATTATCCATTACTCTGAAATTGCATTTCAGAGAACAGCAGAACCTCAGCATACATATACCTACAGTGCCTGAGAATTGGTTCTTACCAGCCCTGCCCAGCTGAAAGCATGAGCCAAAGTTGCCCTCCTCTTCAGAGGCATAATCCAAACTGTTAGGTTTCTAAAAGCAGGTTCTTACCCATATTCCACTAGTTTCCAGTTTAAATATTTATCTTAGTTCCAGCTGTAAGATTATTTTCCTTACATACTAAAAAAAAAAATTACCTTTTCAGTCTCACAAAAGTACTACAATGCACCAAACAAGGGCAGTCGAGTTGCCTGACCTCCTGTTTATTTCCAGTATGATGGAAAAATGCAGTGAAAATTTTAAAGCTCTGAACAGCATCATATAGGTTTTGCTCAGTAGCAGCTCCTTACCTTTGGAATTCAGTTTCCATGGATGTTTGCATGTAAGAAAGTCTAGAGAGCTTTAGGGCATGTCATGAGACATTCAGTCAATTTAACTTGACTGTTCTTTTTTGTTCTACTTAACTTTTGTTTATTGTTCTGGTTTAGTTCAGTTCACTTTTTTTTTTCTGTTTCTCAGGGGTAAGCCCTTATAGCAACAAGCACTCAAATGTATAAATGGAAACAGACTGACTTACAGAAGCAATATATGCAATCCAGACAAAACTGAGTTTATGGGCAATGACATAAAACCAGTATAGTGAGACACATCAGAAGAAGTGACCATAATAAAGCACATCATTGGGTTAAGCCATACAATTTGCAATGTCACGCTGATCAAAGCTGTAAGGTAATGTGTGGAGTTTACATCTGCAAAAGATCACTGAGTGATTTTAAGTTAATGGAACTTAAAATAGAGGAGATAATTGCATTACTGATAATAACCAAGTTTTGCAATATCCTGAAGAAGCAAATTTTATTATTCAGATCATACAGGGTAATTGTACAGGATGACTGAAAAACAAGAGAAATTCTTCTGTCTACCTTGTCCTCACTTTCAGATTTCACAGAACAGCACTGGTAACTGCTTAAGATGGGATAGCAGACTTGATTTATGAGAAATCTGACCCCAACAACAAATCCTAAATCCAAAACAGTCTTTCAAACATGATAAAATTAAAATATAAATTAATTAATACATAAAATAATGAGGAGAGCACCTAAAGTCATACCTCTAGTTGGAAAGCTTAATTGCTGTAGGGTGGCTGCACTTACACAGTAGCCAACCTGTGACTTCTCTGAAATGTCTCCCAGACAGGAATTCCAGTCTTCCACATTATAAACTGGGCAGTCTTGTAGGTTAGTGACAAGGTCTCCCACAAAAAGACCTCTTGGTCCATTGGCAGGAGAATCCTGAGAAAAACAGTGAAGCCAGCCATCTTATTGTAGTTAAAACTACACAGATTAGTTTACAGTTCTACTGAATAACTATGAAATCTTTAGGTTAAGATACTATTTCCCTAGAAACAAAATTTCAGACTCCACTAGAACTGATTATTTTAATTTATGATAAAGCATTACAAAAAATACCATCCTTTACAAATAATGACTATTTAGTGCAAAGAAGGAAAAGGAAGAAAGGGAAGAAAGGAGGACCTCCAAGTGTCCCTAGGACCTCTTCAAATTTGAGTAATTGTTTTCATACAAGTTAAAATGGTAAGAAGCCCCACAACATATTAAGTTCAAGCAACTTAAATGAATACTTTGAAACCTTCAAGAAAGTGGCGTGTACCTATACTTTAAAAGGTAATAAAGCATAATAAATGTCACTCTCTCCTCAGTTATATCAGTTGACTTTCAGATCGAAGAAAGGCTGAATCCTTTCAGCTCTGCTGTTCAACTGTGCTGTATTTGATTAAGTCAGAAAAAAAATCAGGCCTTTCCAGAATCTCAGAAGTCTATCTCTACTTTGCTTCCAGCTGACCAAACAAGGAATTCAGCTCAAAATAATCTTTAACATTAAAACCAGATAACAGTAACTAGAGCAATAATGCAGTTTCCAGTAGATTTGCTTTGTGCCAATACTGAAAAAAAGTTAACTCCCCCCAGAAATAAGCTGCAAACTCATCTCAAACGCCTACACAGTTTTATAGTATGCTGAATAGTCTATAATTATTCACACTATGTTCTTTTATTTACTAATATTAAAATACATGAGACTAAGAAGAAAACTTTAAGCAAAAAGTTCAATATATTTGATTCTGCAGAGTGCTGCACTGACTAAATCTGATTGTGCTAATAAGAGATAGAGATACATTTCAGGTCACAAAGCATATAATATGAAAACAGCAAAGATCTTTTCTTACCTCTGCAACCTCAGTGACAAGTGCCCCAACACCCGTGTAATAGAAAGGGAAAAGAATGGCTGGCAGCAGAAACAAAACCATGAAACTGGCAACACCAAGAACAAAATTATGCCACACTCCTAAAAAGAAGCAAAAAAAAGATTCTAAATAAAAACTAATAACAAAAGCTGGTTTTGAAATTTTTCTACAGCTATCTTCTAATTAACTTTCCTGAAATTGTTAATGTAAGAATGGATAAAAAGTTAATTAGTGTTGAACATAGGCATAAAAGAAGAATACATACATAACTTTACAAACTTTCGTTTCTGTGATGCCACTTCGTAAGGAAGTTTTAGACAAACCTCTGAGCCCCTGAGAATTACACTATCAGAAAAGACAGGCAAGCAGTAAGTCCACTTCTAAGGTGTCATTCTACCACATGGAGATTTCATCATGTACCACTACTTTTCTAAGTATGCAGTGAGCAGAGCACCCAGAAGAAAAACTGGGCTTCTGAATCAATTATTAAAATACAGTTTCTATCTATAGAGTTGTCTTCAATCATAAATATAAAAAAAAGGAATGAAATTTAGTACTTGTCACCTTCTATCACAATAAACTGCTGAATTTACGATTAATGGGCTTATTTTTTTAATAAATGCTGTTTGCCCTAGTCAGCAAGATGTCTGAAATTTAGTGGCAATTCAAGATTTGCTATGGTTATCTCCATTATTTCAATTGAATTATTACATGTATATGTGCCAAACGAGTTAAGAAAATTATTTGAAAAAAAGGCTTCTCTTACAAGAAAATCTGGACCTAAAACCACATCAAGAAATTAAGTTGTGCAATCAGCATTTCCTGACACGTTATTCTGGGGAACATATTTGCAATTGCAATCTTTATAGTATGTTGCTCTCTACAGGAGGAAATGAACGACTATCATAAGACACAGTTGGCTTTCATTTTTAAAGCTTTATGGCTTTCCACACTCAGTACTGTTCCAATTTTTTCACTGAGTTTGTGTTCTTGCACAAACATTTTGTATGAACAATGCAGGAACACTGCAATGTTAAAGACTCCTTATTTCCTTCTTACAGTGCTTCATCTTATTACGAGGAGTTTGATTCAATTCTGTATTTACAGTGCAGTTACAGGACAGGAATTGAAGTAAATATATCTAAAAATATATTAAACCTATCTTTCTTGAAGTGTATACAACACAGGAATGGGAACATATGGCAGACTCTTATCTCCCCTCTCTATCTCTACATCTCACCTGGTCTTCTTTTACACTTCTAATTCTGCAGAAATGAGAGACATTTTTGAAGTACTTGAAGTAAGGGTTTGTTGCCATTTCCACTAGCAGACACTTCTCAAAGTAATTTCTCTTTCTATAGTTTTTAATTGCATCTCACTGAAAGGCAATCAGATAGAGGAAATGTTTCTGCAATCAGTACTCCTTATCTCACATACACACACATATGCACGAACAGACACACAAGTGCAACAAATCCAAAAGCAGTAAGTAAATATTTTAACTTTACTGTTTTAAACTTTTTATCTTAAAAATATTTTTTCAGTTTAACAGCTTAACAAAAGATAAAAAGGAAAAATGGAAACAAAATTCCTTTGCAAGACAGTGGCTGCTACAGAGAGAAAACTGAAAAAAACCTCAACCTTATATTAATAAATAAAAAAGAGGTGATGGAATTGCTAGAGTGTGACAAGGAATACTTTCAAACAGCTGGAAAACATGAGCCTTACTGCAATAACTGACAGTTAGCTGTATGGAATACAGCAGAAAAGTCTAAAATAGAAAGGTTTTAAACTCATCCCAGGTGATCCACAGAAAAATAAACATGCTCAAAATGAGAATACCTGTAGAGGCACACTGCTCAGTATACCTTCAACTTCATCTTTCTAAAACAACCTCATCCTCAGATACTTAATTTCTTATATTTAAAAAGGGCCACTTTACGCAACTCTTAAACCACCTTAAAATAATTTATGAATTATTAAATTTTTAAAAGATAATTGAATTTTAAAAATATTTAACTCCAGTTAAAGATGAGACAAAACGTATTAAAATTATCTTAAAAAGTAATACAAATACTTGAACTAATTACAAGAAAGTTCTGCACAGAAGCACTTTTCATCTAGTAGGCATGAAATTATGTTCTAAATACTACAAGTCTTGCAGGAACGCTCATTTGCTTGAACTCATGATGCCATCTGCTGTACAACAAATATACTCTTTAATCTCCAAAGCATAGGTGGAGTATTTGGTGTTGTCCTCTACTCTAGCTCTGTTACTTGGCTGCCATACAAAAATCTGAAAGCATGTCTCTGTAAATTCAAATCTTCTGAACACTGAGAATAGGCTCATTCAACTGTTCTGACAATTAAAACGAGTCGTTTACTGAGTAACATATTTTATCATTATCAAGTATCCTAGTTCTGAAACATATCAATCATTAACTGTAAAAAAAGGCATGTATTAGTTATAACTAAATTGAAAACAAGCTGTTCATGCTAGCCAGTCTTGCAATGTGCTTGCTCCTTACCTTGTATTACCCTATTTCAGGTTTCCCAAGAAACATGACAAATTATTTAAGTGTTTGCTTGCCATCAAAGCATGCAAACAATTACTTTCTATTACAGCTTAGAATCTAATTTTTCTAGATAATTTCTCAGGAATCTATGTAAGCAACCCATTTTGAAAATCAATGTCTTTTCTTTGAGTTCTGTTCACCAAAGCTGATAATGGAAATTGATTAATTTGAGAAATGTGGTTTCATAAAAATTAGCCTATTGCAGTGAATAATTTTTGTTGATTAGAATATTTGGAATATAGATATATTAACTTACCTAACATTTGTAATTATTTACTTGATTTATGAAAGCTTGAAAACAAGTTTGCTAAAGGTTTCTGTATGTCTACACCCTATATGATGTTTTAGATACAATATTCAAGAAACAATGTTAGAAACTAAACATTAGAACAGGTGGGCTGCTAGCCTACTGTCCCCTGCAATAGAAAATCATCAGTATCAAGAACTAAACCAAGATATCTTCTCTATCTCCGTTTCAGTTGTTTGGGAACCACTTTTGCCTATAGAAATAATCATACAAGTGGTTCAGGCAGAATAACACAGTCTCAGTTTGACTTTTCAGAGCAACAGGGCTCTACTTCCCAGCTGCCAGAGACTTCAAAAAACATCAAGTCAAAACCATCTGGAGGTTATTTGGAGCCATAAGCTATGATTCTCTTTGGACATTTGTGTTTTAACTTTTATTTCCTCCTGATGGCAACATCAAAACACAACTCATAGGTCAATGAAAATCACTTACAATACTACTGAAAAATAGATTGCTCCTATTGCAGAAAATGGTACTGAATTGCTCAAGGATGTTCACCTGTGACAGCAAGTCATGTTCTTATATCACATCTTCTGACTATTTTCCAGCTCGTGTGCTCCAAGGTTTTGTTACTTAGGCCATATGATATGCAAAAAAACCCCCACACAACAAACAAAAAAGACAAAAAGGTGCTTTTGCACCTGAGCTGGTGTAAGAGCTTTTTCTAATGAGAGGAAGGTCAGAAACTACATTTTTTCCCCAACCACACAACTGGAATTTCTTATGCACAACTATTCTAAATCAGATCTAGAATATAATGTTTTTCATGACAGGAAATTGGTACTCATTTAAGACACTAGAAACAGACATCTCTAGCCCAGAAAGCAGCAGGATATGGACAGTGATCAAATGATTTTCTGAAATGATAATGTAGGTTCAGAACAGAAGGATCATCTTTAGGTAAAGAGAAGCTTTGGTACTTCTTAATTCTAAACCTTAAATCCTCTATCAAAGATTCACAAATGACACCTGTAGAATAAGTAACAGTGCTAAGCAAGATTTAGTTAAAAAGCACAAACTATTACCTGCACAAAATATCCTTAATTGCTGGACAGGAGATATCAGTTGCAAGTGAGTTGTGAAAAGGTCAACAAATGCTCCAGGATAGACAATGAAGATAAAAATCCCAAATCCATTAAATCGTACTTGTTCTCTTAAAAAGAAAAAAGAAAAATGTAGTGGTGTTACCACAAATAAAAAAAAGAAAAACTGAGAGATTCTACATAGCACATGTATTTTTGACAATAAAAATAACTAAAATTATAATTATAAACAAAATTATTTTTCATAATACCAATAACTGAAAGATAATTAAACTACAGAATGTTTTCTGCAGTAGTTGCCATGTTGAAGCAGCACACATCTGTGAGTCTGGTAAAAAATAAAGGATAAGGTCAGCTTCCTTTCTCCTGGTAATACATGAAATATATTTTAACTTGAAAGTAGGTGGTTTTTTAAAAAAAGTATTTTAACATTTAGAGTATTTTTTTCTTTTAAGTAAAAAAAAGGCAGTCTGTAGGAAGCAGTTTCAAAGTCATCTATGAAAAATTATCTGCAAGAAGCAATTGCTTCCCTTTTAAAGAAACATTTATAGATCTCTGGAATTTACAATTTCTTTGTTTCTCCTAAACGAAATTTAGAGTAAATTGTAAACTAACAAAAACGAGGGAAATGTAATCTGAAAAAACGAAAACAATTTGAGAGGTTAAAAGGACAAATGCTAATGCCCTTCCAACGGTTAATATTCTACAATTCTATGATTCTATTTAAATATATTAGTAGCTGACACTGTCATACAGATAATATTTTTTTTCAGAGGTTTTACAATTGCTTTTAAGTGGAATGTTTTGGAACAAATACATTAAGTTTTTCTGAAGCTAGAAATTTCATTAGGCATGAGACAATCATGTTAACAAGACAAACCAGGCACAGATCAGCTAATACCATATCTTTACTGAGACAGTATACTGGGTATAACATTTTATTTATTCACATTTATTTGTTTACTGTGTATACACAAAAACAGAAATACAAAAAATTTTTCAGAATGAAGTCGTACACTAATTCTGTGGAGCTAACTCACCAGACTCACCCATGCTACCAATTAGTAACAGCCACTCTAACACCTATACATGATTTCATGACTTGGGTAGGAGGCACAGAGTGAAGAAGAAGAAGAAGACGACAATTTTTTTGGTAAAAGCCTTGACTAAGCTGAGGCTCAAATATTTCAAGCTCTTGTAGTTCACTGCTAATGTTACCTTGCACTGAAGTTGCCAAAAGTTTATTAGATTTCAGGAAGGCTAAGTGACTTGCCAGAATAATGAAATTTGCCCACAGCTATTTAGCAAAGCCTAGACCCCGAGGATTTACAGTAACAGCACTACAGACCCAACTGGTCTAGGAAGAAAATAAAGCCAAGCAGAAAACAGCAGCAGCAACATTGGCTGCCAATGTATACATTGGACAAACTAATTTCTCTCCTGGAAACAGCTGGGAAACAATTTTTTTGGCAAAAAACATAACCCAAAATTGAATATTCAGAATGTTTGCTCTAGATCTTGAATAAAGATATCAGACAACTTAGCACACAAAACACAAGCCAGACAATTTAAGATCTATTTTAAAGTATCATTGTGCAACAGCACATGGGTCCTCTTCAACTGCCACAGGTGCAGAAATGAAATTCCTCTGTGAAAAACGGGACCACTTAAAAGAAGTATTACTTTAAACCCAACGTAGCACTGTATATTTGCAAAGCAGAAGTCCTTTCTCATTATCTGTAGAGTAGACACTTTGAGACCCCTGGTGGCCTAGTGGTTAGCGTGCAGGACTTTCACTGCTGCGACCATGGGTTCGAATCCCGGTCTCCTGGCCTGATGGAGGTCGTTAGCCCTGTGTGGCCATCCATCTATGAGAAGGACACTCTAAACAAACCTACGTCCTGAGGACCTCACTGCCATTGTTCAAGCTTGCTTGGCCCCGGCAGATGAACCTTAGGATTAAAGGGTGGGCTCAGTTCAGCGCAGGCTGTGTCTCACCTAAAAAAAAATCCATTGCGCAGGCTGGAAAGGTAAAAGACCTTTCCCCAAATCTTCGTTCGCGAAGATGGGCCATTATATATTTATAGAGTAGACACTGCATTAAAACTCTATCCTTAATTGCACATCCTTCCAAACTTAAAATGTAAGGAAGCCATGAAATACAGACTGAACAGTCTCTCTAGATAAACCAAAACAGTGCTAACAACATTCTCGGGTAACTGCTCTGGAATATTAGGCTTTGTTGGCAGAGAGTAGGAGAAAAGCAATTTGTGTTTACCGAATAGCTGCCACCCCATGGCCGACTTCATGTATCACACCGCTGATGAGGATTGCAGAGAAGAAATAGGTCAGCTGGCTGACAGGCAAATTGACACCAGGCACCTGTTGATGTGGGCATGACAACAAAACAAAACACAGGAGGAAACCAAGAGGTACAAAGACGAATTCTTTTATCTCTAAAATTCCTGCTCTCAGCTTTCTCCGATCCACAACAAGGGGCTGTTCTCATGCAGCACTATCACTTTGTACCTCTTTTCCCAACTTATCCAACGTATTGTAACATATATTAAATATATATCCTTTTGTTGAATGTTAAATAGCTCTCCAGGCACAAAAGCCTTCTCCCTGCCCTATTTATTCCCCACAGCCCTGACCAAATGTGTCCTACACTATATTAAGTTTGAGAAGTTCATAAAAATGTACGCAGAACTCCACTCGAAACAGGTTTGGCAATTCTGAGCTTACTTAAATTCTTAGTTTACAATTTCCTGCAGCCCATCATGTAGCTATAGAGAAGATCCACCCCTCAAAAGAAAATAATAAAAATTGTATGGCACTTAAAACATTATAAGCTGTAAAAGTACAAAAGTGACTGAACAATCTCCCTTCTCTCTCCCCATACAAATTACAAGATTATCCCAAACTTATAGGGTCAAAGTAAAGGTAATTTTCACCTATTGTTTTCATCTATGTAGTTTTGGTTGTCTACATATGGCAATTTAACCTTAAAAAACCCCACTTGAAACGAGCATAGTATTTTAATTTACATAAGACATAATATGCAGGCCCCTCGTATTCTTCCTGTTGGTGGATTCCCACCACTCACCAGGTCCCTCATTGCACTAGTTATGAGACACCAGCTGCTTCCAGACAGGCTTCAGTGCGGTCACTTCTCAAAGAATTAGGAACTTTCCTAATCTTTCCTCCTGATGGACCTTCATCCTGCCCAGTTCCACCTCCCCTCAGGGCTGCAGTGGGACAATAAGGCTACTTCCACTGCTTCTCTGGGGCAGTTCTCTTGTCTGCTCCACAGCTTTTTCCACTGGAGGCGGGGTGCAGTTCACTGCAGTCACTAACAGCTGATATGAACACAACTTGAATTGCAATCCAGTGTCACAAAAGAGATGCTATAGTCAAAAATTTATGGTCTGTTTATAGGACTCTATAAAAACCACCCCTGTGGAAACCCAAAGGGTGCCGATTCAACTGCAGATCCAGAGCAGGTTTGATTCTACCTCCATTCAGTTCTGCACATTCCACACTTACATGCATTCACCTACCCATGCAGCAGGCTGAAATAGCTAAAATAAATCCTTCAAAAGACTGTTTTCATTAATGTTAATCATCCCACAAATTCTGTCCAGAGTGTGATCATGACTAAGATATTTATCTTAACTGGCACGACTGTGGTACCTCACTGGATGAAGACACCTGCTCTCCATTCTTTGAGCATCCCTTGGTTGCACTGCAGCATCAGCTGCTGGCACTAAAGCATTTCCAAGTGGTGTTGCCAGTGACCCTCTGCAATGGGAGGACAGATAGCCATAGCAAGAGTTGCCATCTCAATGCCACCACAACTGTGGCCTGCTAGAACACAGCACCCTGCTTTCAGACTTCACATCAAAGAAGCTATTTTCAGATTCACCTAAAACAGAAGCTACCTCTCATGAAGGGTTCTGAAACCAATAGCAGTATCTCGTAAAAAAGCATGTCATCTTATATTTTATGGTCTTCTGGAAATGCCTTTAATAAAAGAAGATCCTTTGCTAGTAACTGATCTGCCTCCTTCCTATTTTTGTCAATAGGCAACCAACACAGGGGGAAGCTGAAGAAAAACAGCCCAGTTACCTGTAGATAAGTATTTTAAACAAAGTACACGACTGACCAAAAGAGGAAGGGTACAAAAATCTTAATAAAACATAAGCAGAATTGTTTCTCCCTCTCTCTATAGCCAAAGGCTAAAAGGTTAAACAGATTTATGCCACAGGCTAAAGTTAAGTTAAAAAAGAAAAAGTGGGGTGTTTTGTTGTTTTTTTTTTTTTAACTAACTCATTCTCCTCCAGGCAGTCAAATACAAGTAAATAATTTAAATGAGAAGGTCATCCTGAGTTGTTCTTCACCTCTTAACAACCATAAATGGGTCACTGTTTTGTGTCAACTTATGCTAGCTCATTCCCCTTAAAAAGAATACTGAAACTCATTAAAGGCAGAATTATACAACTGTGACCATTCAGGAATAAAAGAATGAGGTAGGAAAGGAAGAGTCAAGTTAGGAGAAGTAACCATATCCCCATACATGACATTACATTACCCCTATATAGTAAATTGTTCTCAGTGCCAGTCAATGCTCGGTTTGAATACAGTCATATTGCCACAGGCAGTCACTGAGGAATCAATTCCACATTGAATTGCGAACATTGTCCTACTTTTCTTCTTTCATTGTTTCAATTCACACTAGATTAATTCCAAAGGCTCATCTTTACTTTGGTTGCCTCTACCTTATTTTCTCCAAAGAGCAATATATTGACAAAGACCACTTTACTCTGGTGTCACAGAAGTGGATAGATTCATATAATGATTTCAGAAAATGAAGATGTAAGGGAAGCTTTTCTTACTCCAGAATGTAATAGACACACATGGTTAGGAGAGACCCTGCTGGCACGTAAATTAAAAATTTTCTGTCTCAAGTTCTACTTGTGCTCTATGGGATGCACATACTGCCCATTCCTGTCTGTTTCTGGAAATAATTCAGGAGCAGGCTGTGGAGTGGGTGATGGCAGTGGCAGTGCCAGCAGTTCTCTCTCAGATCCCACTGCCTGTTTCTGCCAACACATTCTGCATTCGCTATATTCACCTGCATGTGTGAAACAGACCCAGCCATCCAAAGGCACCAGGTTTATGGCACATGCTAATAATAATCAGGCTTCCTGCACTCATGTAATTTTTTAAGTCTAGCTCCGTGCACTTGGTTTAACATTTACAGGACAGTCTATTATGGCAACAGAAAAATCTCAACTTCTGTTCACTAGAAAAGCTGAGTACTTAAACAGAGTAAAATGCCTGGGCACCCCTGCTCTAAGCCATGTAGCAGAAGGCAGAGAAATCTCACAGGACCTTCCGCAGTTCTGGAAAATGACCACACATTTTAGTCAGATAGCACTCCTGGGGTACAAAAGGTGGGTAGGAACCCTTCCAGATAAAAACTGTTGTAAGGCAATGACAGTTCTTCCATTACTGCCTTGCGTAGAGATAAGAAAGACAGGATTTGCAATCTCTCCCGTTCTGTGAAATACATTCTGTTCTAAAACCATATAATATATTGTCCAGCATCAGAAATCCTTAAAAGAATTAAATATATTGTTATTAGGCCTTTAACTAGATACTGCTAGAAACAGCACTTTAAATTTCAGATTGTAAATTAGGTCATAAGTCGTTGAACAATCAAAAAAAATGCCACCTCCTCACTAATAAATCTTTGCTTCTATCACACAAGGCTCTTTGCACTTTCCTTCTCCACTGATGTTTTGTATTGTAGTAAATGAAACAGACTTGCCTGTTCTTGTGAACTCTACACTGCACAGCTCACAGGAGGCAAATTCTTAGCTCTGTTTTATATTCTTAGTACTATAATTTAGGGTTTTTCAAAATGACTAGCCAATTCCCACTCCTGAGAATTTTTAATATAAACTCTTCCGCGTTTGCCTTAATTTGCCCTCTGTTACTATACCCACTCCCCATTTTTAAGGCCGATAACAAACTAGGACATTTTCATGTAGATGAACATTAGGAGTTTGGTTATTCCTGCGTGGGAATATTTAAGCATCACATACCCCATTAAGAAGCCGCTTTATATCACAGCTCTCACATAAAGACCTGAGGAGAGCACACTTACCACGACCTGCAGCATACGATCGTTCTGGGCTCTCGGTGCCTCCGTGAGCATCTGTGTCAGTGTTTGCATCAGCGTCTTCCCGAGGAGAATAACAGAGCCAAACATGGCAACTATTCCAAACACCATTCCTACGCTGAACCTACAAAGAGAAGCAAATAGTTTAGCAATCCACAGCCACAAGAAGATGGGGTGTATATAGCTGCTTTATAGCACAACTTAGCACACAAAACACAGGGCAACACTTATCTGATGCTACTACTATTCAAGTATCAACAATCCAGTACAAAAATATTACCTAAAGGAAACAAATAACAATAATAATGTACACTAATAACATACAATATTTTCCATGGTTAATAAATGTTTTACATCAAACCACATCTTGATCAATTTCCAAATATTTTTATTCTTTTCTTACACATTCTAAATTTTATTCTGCTACCCAATACATGTAACCTGCCTTTAGCTATAATATATAAACATAACTAACAATGTATAATTGACCAAGCTGCACCACACCATCACATATTTAGAGACCTGGATCAAATGATGGGGTAGCTTACAAAATTATAAGCTTTTTCAATACATTTTGCATCTTTCTTATAAACAATAAGAAGTGCTAAAGAACAATAAATGGGACTCAGATCTTTTTTATAGAACAACTAAAAGGTACAACTGCAAGATCAGATTAACATCAATTATTTAAACAACATTTTTTCCTCATCAATTTAGTTTTCATTAAAATCAGTGTTGAAAATAATTTCAATTCATGTCACTCCATCTAGTGGCAAATTTTTATTCAGCATTATTATTTTACACTGTACCATAGCTGAAGGATGTGATAACATTTATTTTCTAACTAAAACACTTCTCCAGCAGTCCTCCTTCTTCTCACAATTACCATCCTTAATGAAGCTCACTGGGAATTAGTAGATTTATTTTAAGCAACATGTACTTGTAATGTTAATTAAAGAGACCAGGGAAAACACTATACTGTAATAAGTTATATGCATTACAAATTGTAATTGATACAGAACTATTTCAGACTGATTATTACAAAATCATTACATACCAGAGAAACCAATATGAAGCAGAGCTCTCTTTTATTACTATCTCACTGAGGGTAGCAATAAGGGAAATGAAAAGAAATTCAAACCTTACTAATTTTATATTTTCAGAGCAGATACAAAGTAATGCTAGGAAGGCCACTGAGCAATAGTTTCCTAAACCAGTTCAGGAGCACCCATACTAAACCACCCTACTTACCTACCCATTCCCAGCACTGCGCAACCTCAGCAGGGAAAGGTGAAGGCAGATAAAAGACAGAAGGTGAGCAATGTGCTTCTGAGCAGATATCATTGCTGAATGTCTGCACAGTGATTGACTACAGGGACACAACTGAGAACTTTGTAAACTCTAGAGATTGGGGAGAGCTCAGGGTCCAGTGATGGAAGTGATGGACAGATCAAGGATATGAGAAGCTGCTTTCAGACCTATTTCTGTATGCAGTAGTGCATGCAATAGCTGTACTCTTAAGAACTTAAAACCATAGGTTTGGAGATTTCTAGTTCTATAGCATCTCAATATGCAACCTGTATTACAATAACGTATTGTTTTAGTAGAGGAGAAAGACTTATACTGGCACAGTACAATTATAGCAGCCGCTCTAATCTGGTTTTATCATTAGCCTACTGAAATAACCATGTCTGCCCACTGCATTTTTAAGGCTGAAAGGCACAGATATGGTTCAACTGTTGACTCTGCATTTGCCAGAAGAAAAAAAAATCCAGAATTTATACCATAAATACAGAAATTTGGGTTTCCATCTCCCCCAGCTGTAGAACTGGCGGTTGAACAGAGCTGTTTGCCATCGCATGTGAAAGGGAGAGATGCTCAGGCCATATGTCAGCAGCCAGTCTTCATATGATGCCTTCAGAGAGCTGGATGACTGCAAAACAATGGAAAATCAGCTGGACCAAAAATTCCAGGAAGATTCTGTAACGTGACCAAGCAGTTAATGTGATCTGTTTTAATGTAACCAAGCAGTAAATGTGATCTGTTAATATAAAAACAGATGTATCCCTTCAGGTAAATGTCCTACACATTCTTTATATTTTGACCTATAGGTAGGTATGACACATAATATGAAAAAGTTATGCCACTGTTTTGATGTCATTTGTAACAGTTCTAGGTTTGTGAGAGTGATCCAGTGTTATATGACAAACAAGATCTTATGTCATCTTTCCTAGTGTTAAATCACTTCTAGTTCTACTGTCCAGGTAGAAGGCTAAAGACTGTTGATGGTATTCTTTGAATGAGCAATTATATTCCAATCAACATTTTAAAGACTACAATAATGGAAAACACTTATTTTGTCTTCAGCTGAAAAAACTGTTTCTAACACTGGTGAGATATGGCTCAGTATTGCAGATACCCATTAGTAAGGGTAAAAATGAGGTCTACTTTTCAAACACAAAGACTCTGAAATATTTGATCATGCTAAAAAAAGAAACACAAGGAATTATCAACTCATATTGCAATGGTGATTCACTATGGTAACTTCCCAGCATTTCAATATACTTCTAGTACTTCCAAAGATGTCTCTTGATGAGAAATGTGACTTCTAAACTATACGATTAATACTTACCTGCAGTATTAGCTGCTCTTATAGACCAATAGGCATGGTTTTTTGCAATTGCTACTTCATACTATATAACACTTGCATTCTCAACAGGCTTTAGTCACCTGCTTCATGGAAATTTTCATCAGAAATCCAGTAGAAGGAATGCTTTCCTTGGAGGTGAAAGAGGAACTCATAGCTCAGGAAAAGCACACAAGAGGCTTGAGCCTCCTGACTTTGGGCAGTTCCCAAGGCAGAAGTGTCTCTGACATAATCCAGACAAATCCTTGGAGCCGTCTGAACTGCAACATTGTTCCCAGGGTTCCCTACAAGCAGCAGCACCTACTGAAGACATCTGGAATGTGTAGTTCACAACAGGCTTCCTTCTCCTCCCCCAGGAGGAACTTCACAAGTTTCTGGCTGTTGTCTGTGGTTCTTTAAACAAATTTAGAACTTGCCAGGTTCCTTGCTTTTCTCCTGCCCTGCCACAGTGGTGGTGGTGGGTTAGGATCTCATTTTGCAGAACTATGTTAACAGCTTTTCTCATTTTGTCAAATTAATTAAAACTTGAACACTAAAAGTTTATTTCAAGCAACAAATTTCCTAGGACATGAGATTCATTTACCCGGGTCATTGTTCATGTATCACCTACTACACCATTTATCCTTTCTGCCTATATATTTCTGTGTCATTTCCTTCTTCTTCATCCTATTGATTTCAGCCACATTTTTGTTCAGTCAATTGAGGACACCAACAGAAATTTTCATTGTAATGCTTTCCCTAATCAACACTGCTCACTCCCTATGACACCATTACGTTTAGTGTCCACAATCAGATCAGCATTTGCTAACCCAGCTTTTTAAACTTTAATGGAAAAGATCACAAAAATGATTACACTTGTACTACATAAGCCAAGGAAACAAAGAAAAAGACCTCCTCGCATAATCTACCAGATAATTAAAACAGAAATATATATGTCATTAAATACCTCTGATATGAGAAACTGTCTTTTGGGAATTAAGAAAACACATCCTATTCATTCACATAGAGTCCAAAAAAACCCCCAACAACCTAAAACATTATTATAATAGATGTAGTCAGATACATTAATTTGGAACTTGAAAATGTTTTCCTTTTATCACATGCAAACCCCACATTTTTTCCCTAGAAATGCCACAAATCCTTCCCTTTGAATTAATTCCAATGACATCACAGCCTCAATGTAGTAGCAAGACATAAATAAGTATGAAGTTGTCCATGAGAAATATGGAGTCACTGACCATGCATCTGCCAAATGGGGAAAAAAAAGGTGCCAAAAATTTTTGTTTCACATTTTCCTCACAAGTTGTGTAAACAGTATTTATGATCACTAAAAGACTGCATCCCCTTGCAAAATATATTAAAAAGCTCTATGCAAACTTTTGCTCCTTCTGTGCTGATCGCAGTAGGACCCTCACATTCCACACGGAGCCTCGTGCCCTGGCGTGCTTAATTTCAAACTCCCTTCACACGGGCTTTGGCTCTGCTTCTCCAAGTCGAGATCTGTGTTCTTTGTTATACTAATTTTACTATAAAAGCAATACCTTTTTTATTTATGCAAGCCTTCAAAATAATGAATGTCTGCTAAATACTCCAGGAGCTCCATAAATATCTGCCAGCAAGCAGGAGTCCTTAACATTCTTCTTTGCTGACAAAACCTGTTCAAGACCTTTGAATCATTTCAGCTTCCTGACCTTAAAAGCTGAGAGCTAACCTTGGCTAAATGTGTCTAATGCATCCTTTATTTCTCATAGCAGAAGGAGGGACAACCTTCTACCCTTCACTCATTCCTGATCCTTCAGGCAGAATGAAATATGATAATTTAGGATGTTGGGGAGAAGGAAAGTAGGGATCTGTCTGATTCCCTTTTGTTGGATGATCATGCAAGGTAAAGTGCTCCTGTATTACTCTTCACTCATGCTCTGAACGTCCTTTCGCTGTAATTAAATTGCAAGTGATTTGAGGTTTAAGCACCTTTGCTACAGTTGCTAGCAGCCTTGTGAGGTTGTGAACATGGCAGATTTACAGTACCAGCAGTAAAACAAGCAACCCTGAGCTTCCTAATTATAAATCTGGTTATTTAACCCAAATTCTATTTTGATTGTGGTGCTCACAGCGAAGCTTATCACTGAGATGCCCACATGTGATCTACCAGCAAGTTCACTAAAATCCAACAGCTTCCACACACTTCCTGACTTTAAATAACCTTCGTCAACTTTTAGTTAAAAGACCAAAGTTCAAATTTATCCCCTGGACTTTCATGCTGACTATAGAATTCCAGGCATTCCCCCTTCTTTTTGCAATATAAATCAGGCACTAAGTTGGCCCCAAGTGGGGTTTTTTTCCCTCCCTCTACCAGAGGCTGTAACAAGAAAACCAGTGTCACTCCTTCCTTACAAAAGAGAATGATTTTATGGTCTAATGCAAAAAGAGATTTTCAGAACTCTGAGATGCAAACGGTCTCAGCATCTCAGCACAAGTTCTGCCTGAGCTCAGTTCTTGCTTTATACCCTAAATTCTTCACCAGACACAAAGTTGCTGCCAAAAGAAAAGTAGCCTCCTGGCTGACCTTCCTGCTGTATCTCAGAGCGTGTTCTTCTGGCATCTGCCAATGCCACTTTTTTTTCAAATACCTAATATAGAATTTCTGTAATAAAATTTGAAAAATCTTCAGGTAGATGACTGTATTTGTTATTGTCATTATGTACAGAGTGATATTTTGCAATTAACGGCTCTCATCATTTACTGAGCTACACTCGCTTTCCAATTTGCTGCAGGGGGAGCCATTTGCTTTTCAAAGTTTTCTCTGCACCTAAAATTTCTTGTATTTCTTCCTATATTTTACAGGAGTGACAACATGAATATTTTGTACTTTGATATCACTAGGCTCTTTCTGCCTTGGCAGAAACAGATGCAGCTCCTGGACTGTAACATTCAGAATGAGAATTACAGATCAAATCTTTCTTTTAATTTTCCCTCCTATTTAACCAGCATACAGCCTACTCTGCAATTTCAATCATCTCTTAGAAATCATACCTCTGGAGCTTTAAAAAAACACCCCACAACACTTTATGAAACTTGTGCAATGCACAAACACATCCTAGATAAAATGAATACTGTCTTGGTGTATTTTCCCTTCAAGCCTTTCCCCCCTCCCTCAGGAGGAAAAGGACAAGTCTCGTAATACTCTCTGAAAATTAAAGTTTATTTATTTTAAAGTTATTTGTATCGAGCTGTGTCTCATCGTATTTTTTTCAATAAAACTACGAACATTAAAAAATGATGCATTAATTCTTACATTTTTTAGAAAAATCATTATAAAACACATCCTCTACACACATAAAACATGTACTCTGCAAAGCAAACTTCTAAATTAAAGTCGCATTTTTACTAATACTTTAAACTCCAGAGAGCACATTGAAATGGCCACAGAACTGCTTAAGCAGTAGATTAAAAGCTAGGTCCTTTAACGTGGATCGAAGCCTCTGTAGCCGCCGTGGAGGCGTTTTCAACCGAGCGATGGGCGGAAGCAAAGCCCGGCCTCCCTGGGCCCGGCTTTGGGGCCAGGAGGCTCCTCTGGGGGGAAGGAAGCCCTCAGCAGCCCGGGAAAGCGCGGCAGGCCCGGGCGGGGCGGCGGCTCCTCCGCTCAGGGGAGCGGGGCCCGCGGGCCGCCCGGGGCTGTCGGAAGGGGGGGGAAGGCGGGCCGGGGCACGGGCCTGCCGCTGCGTCCTCCCGGCCCTGCGCCCCCAACCCTCACCTTGAGCAGCGTGTCCGCCAGGTACACGGCGCACCAGCCGCCCAGCACGCACACGACCACCGAGATCGGGATCATCGCCGCGGCCGCGCCTCATGCGGGCGGCCCCCGGAACAAAAACCGCCCGGAACTTTTCTCCAGCCAGCTGCGGTGCCCGGGCGGACGTTTCCGGGTGGTGCGTCGAGCCGAGGGCAGGTGGCGGAGTGACGTCACGGCCCGGGGGAGCGCTGGGGTTCCTTAGTGCGGGGCGCGTGCGCAGTGAGGGGCGGGGCGGGACATGGGCGGGGCTTGGCGGGCTGAGGGGCGGGGCGGGGGCTGCGGGGCGGGGGCTGAGGGGCGGGGGGGGGGCTGAGGGGCGGGGCGGGGGCTGAGGGCGGCCTGAGAGTGCAGCCTTTCCACCGCCGTTGGCGGTATTTGTGCCATTTGTCTACTCCTGAAAGCGATGTCATGCAGGAGACTAAAAGTGATTTGCGGTGGCGAGATTAAAGCGAGTTGTGTAAGCGCTTCAGTGAGGAGGGAGCAATAGGATTCCCTTTAAGCGCTGACGTTCTTCCAGAAATTTAACACTGACGTCATGGCACGGGAAGATGGTTCCATGAGGCTCGCTGTAAGATTGACTTTCAGGCACTCTGGCCACTGTGTGTCCTTACCAGCCCGGTGCCAGTATCGGTTCTCCGGCTGTGCCTCGGTCGGTCCCGCCCCTCCTCCTGGGTGTGTGTCGTTGTTCCCAGAAGTGGGATGTGTTGTGAGGTCACTGAGCTTAAGAGTTGATCTCTCAGGGTTTCTCTTAAAAACTTCCACTCACAGCTTGAACACTAAAAGCAAGCAATTACAAGGTTTGGCAAAGGTTAAAGGAAAGTGTTTATTTGCCTGCGCAAACGATGCAAATTGAACTGCCCCTTCCCCCTCCCGTCCCTTTCCCTTCTCCCTGTGAAAAAAATGCGGTATGATGTCCTCGGTTTTCTCGTAAGATTCTTTAGCAATCGGGACAGCGGCAGTGGGAGACCTCTCTACAGTTTGAATCAAGAGAGCAGTGGGAGAGCCCTTCTGCAGTTTGTGGCTTCCAGTCTACCTTTTCCTACGTGCTTCAAATAAACTTTGTTCTTTCATTGGCTTATGAGAAATGACTCAGAAGGTCATCTCTCTCCTGAAGAGGCTTATTCCGTCCATCTTTTGTCTCTGATCAGTCTGTGGGTTCATGGACCATTCTGTGAAAACCTGGTACTGTCAATAGGAGAAGGGTTCATAAAACCAACCACAGCCTTTCTTTTTCGCACAGAAAGCTTTGTAGAAGTCGTGTTGGTGTTTTTAAAGATGTACAAGCTCCTGTCCCTTGAATAAAAAACTGCATCAATACTTCCCTTTCCTAGAATTTAAGTGTTTTTAATGCTGTTTTTCAGCCATCTTTACAGATTTGTCAGCTCGCTCTTTGTTCCGTATATGCTGCTTCATCCTGTTCTTCCCAGAATGGGTGCTGTGAGTTTTACCTTATGCTACCAGCAGGAAGAACTTCTCAGCTTTGAACTCCTCGGCTCCTTTCAGCTACCTCTCTTTTCACTGACCACATGGCGTTGCTGAGGGGTACAAGGGTCTGTAGCCCAGGTTAGATCAGCAAGTGAGGGGAGATAGTGCTGGCCAATCTCTCATCATTGGCACTTGTGGACATAGAGTGGGAAGTGAACTGGTCATGCAGGCTGGGCTGGCTTTCACTTGTTCTCTGTTTGCCTAATTCCTTTGTCTTTCCTATCAATTCAGGGATGGTTCCCCCCTTCCCCCACCTTTAGATTTTCCATCATCCTTACACCCCTTCCCTTTGATGGGAGCTCTTCACGTTGATCGATGCCTTTTGAGAACTTCGGAAAGAATATCATTCTGACATAAAACTGGAGAATTACAGGAAGTGTATCCAGCCCTCCATGCAACGAAATTTGAGTTTGTGCACTGACATACACAACTTTGAGATGTCCCCAGCATTTAAAAGGAATCATAAACAGAGTCCCAGAATAATCAGATCTGATAATGATATTTCTGCAGTGGTTCCCAATCTAGGAAGTTCAATTGCAATCATTGAAAAATTATGCAAATATGGCTTATTCTACGCCTTATTGGTTGAAAACTCAAGCATTTAATATAAATATACAGAATTTAAACTGTGGTCATCTTTGGAAGGAATGGAGGCAAATTGTATTCAAACAGCTGAGAACACGAATACTTTTACTAATGGTGAAATAAAGCAAACTAAAATGGGCATGTTTAAATGAACAAGTTGATAAACAGGTTTTGTAACATTATTGTATTTTTACTTATATATTCACTTAGTATACCATAAAAATACAGACTTGAATTTTATTGAGTTGTCATAGAAATTGGAAGTGCAACTAAAAAGGAATGAAAATGAAAATGAAAATATAGTCTGTACTTTATTGTTTGACAGTTTATCACAAGAAAACAAGAACAAAAATAAAAGTTTTCTAGAATGCAGAAGATAGATATTCTGAGTGAACTGCCAGCCCCACTGTTCTGACTTGTGTAACTTGAGCAGGTGTTTTGCCCCTGGCAGAAAGGCAAAGCTTATCCTTGTTCCCATGGAATTAAACTGTTGTGGACTGTAAAGTGTTACAGAGAGTGATTGCATTTTGAAAGTTACATTTTTCAGAATTAAAGATTTCCACTTCAAAATTGTTCAGGAGGTAGTACAGGTACTGATACATGTTTTACCACGTCTTGGTTTTACTTACAGTCAGATATTAAGCTAAGATAGTGACCAAAGCAAAATGCCATGCAGTAATCCAATTAGCGCCCAGTATCCACACACTGTTACAGAGCAGTGTAACTATCGGAGTTTTAGGAGTCACACATGGGGTGTGTGTTAAGGGGGGGACATGAGTGGATCTCAAAAGTATCAAAGAATGTTAGAAAATGATAAACATCAATCATCATGCAAGAGTACATAAGTCCATGCAAAAAGTTTAGACAGAAAAAAAATGCTCTCGTAAACATAATACTACTGATTAAATTTAATTTATCAACTGAATACCGAACAGAATCTGTTAATACATTAAGATATTAATTCAGTTAGAGATTTAATATCACAGGCATCTTTTTTTAGACAAATATGTTTATCTTAAGATTAATTATCAATATGTCTAATAATTAATTTCTCTTCAACTTTGACCTGTTATTAAAGTAGATATGTGAGTATTCAGATATTACCATAGTGTACACATTGCAAAATAAAAGTAAAACTAGTCTTAACAACATTTTCAAAACCTCTGATGTTAGAGGGCTTTGCAGGGCTTCAGGGAAATTTTACAGAATTGCAGTTTATCACAATCTCGGACCTAAGATCAGCTAAGATGTTGATTTTGTTGAGGAGAGGTTGTAAATTTTGCCAGTTCAAAGACACTACAATCAGAACCTGACTTGATTGAATAAGTGTTTAAGCCTTGGGGAAACCAAATGGCTTTTCAGATATGTTCTGAGTAGTCTGCATCACTAGATTGTTGGGCACAGAAATGGGCTAAGCAGAGGAAAGGAGGATGGAATAAAATGTGATTCTGCAAATGTTTGTGTGCCAATGTAACTTAAAACGAAGGGGTGCTCTAATGGAATATGTGAATATTTATAGAATGAGCCTTCAAGCCTAGCTGAGAATTTAAGTAGGATGCATGAAAGAAGAAATTGATGGGTAAAGATAAAATAGATGGTCCATTAAGCACTTCTGCAGGTGAGGAGATTGCTTCTGGAGGGAATAAAAAGATCAGAGTAAAGAAGAAATCGAGAAACAAGAGGAGACATACAGAGACTGGCATACTACAGAGGTGTAGATAGCATTGGTTGTAAAGGTCTGAAAGACAAATATGTTTTCATTACCTTACTAATATTACAAAAAAAATCTCAGCATAGGGGACCAATTCAGATAATAGGAATTATCGAGACATATGTGTATCATTTAAAATGAACCCAAACAAGAAAATTAAAAAAAAACCCCTTTCATTCTTGCTGTGCCTAAAAAAGAAAAGAGCAGAATGTTACACAATTTTATTGTTTTTGGGTTTTTTATGTTCCAATTACAGTATAAAAGAGTCTTGCTTTATTTAAACAGAAATGAGGTCAAAATATTCTGGGAAGGTTCAGGGTTTGTTTGCAGTATTTAACCTGGTTACCAAAAATACTTGCTGGAAAGATGGGATTTTGATTCTTAAAGCAAATTAAGTTTGTTCTTAAGTCACTGTTCATTGAAAATGTAAAGAAAAAGCACACGTGTTCGTAGAAATATGCCTTTACTGCATTATTCTGCAACAAATAGTAGTTGTATGTGCTTTTTCACCAATTGTTTCACAGTGTTGACCTATTGCAAAAAAAATTACAGGTTTTTCTTAATTGCTACCAATTTGCAGCATTTACTCACCTGTCATAATTCTAGTAGGCACATCACCTGAAAGAATGGCCTCCGAAGCTGTTGCACTCCAAGGAGAATTGAGTGTCAGACTTTAAAGAAAAGCAAAGGAAATGGAGAAATGTGTCTTGAATACTATTCTAGAATACAGTTCTATAAGAATATTAGTTTCAGGCTTCACTCATTTTAGATGATAGTCTTGCTTGCTTATCTGTTGGGCTTGAGGAAAAACATGGAACATCTACTCCCAAACAGCTATTCAGCATTATTTCCTATGTTGGGATCACTTTATAACTTTAAAAGTCTGTCCATGAAAAAGAGTTAACCTAAACTCCAGTTAAGAAAGGGCTCAATCCATGAAAAAGAGCACACAAGGAAAACTAATGCTGAACAATTTCGCTGGTTTGTTGTGTTTTTTTTAAATTTAAATTACCTGTGAAGTCCCTCTGTATATGATATCTTATTTTACAGCAGAATGCAAAAAATATAGAATAGTTTAAGTCTAACAGGTATTGTTTTATGCTTACTGTAACCTGAAGTAAATGCACATGATAGCATTAGACCTGTCGAGTTTAAACCCCAAAACTTGTAAGGCAGCTTTGAACGCTAGGGAAGGAAGTGCACTTAACCTGAGTAAGTCAAAGTGAGGTAACAGTTTGGAGGAGACAAAGTAGTCTGTAGCTCATTATTTAATGGCTGTTAAAGCCCAAAGCATTTCCATTCACAGAATCATAGAATGGTTTGGGTTGGAAGGGACATTAAAGATCATCT